AGTAAAGGGTAAAAAAAAATGAATTCCCAAAAATTAAAATGGAAAAAACGGAATTTGGGAAAAAATAAAACGGAATTTGGGAAAAAATAAAACGGATTTCATAGGGCCCTACATATAGGTTTATTTTCATTTTGTTACATTATTTAGGCTATTTTCAAACCTTTTTTATGTTGTGGGCAAAAAATACTAACATGTCCACATTCTTGGGTAAAAGACAGCTCCTCGACTTAACAATAAATCCTGCTTTGGAAAATATGTGCTCTGCAGGAGTGGAGGTTGCAGGGATGCAGAGCAGGCGTCTTTTGCGCGCTCAAATTCGTTATTTCAAATGTAGGCGCGCGGCATGCGCGCTCATAATGGAAGCGACACGGTCATCTTTTCCAAGCGCGTCCACGCCGCATCTAGATGAAAACATCTCAACTTTTCAGAATGCTGCAAGCGCACCGTAGGTCATGTGACCAGAACCTTAACAACAACAAGCTTAGAAACAACAGACGCCTCCGGAGCGCAACCGCCCTAGCGCTTTGGAAAAAGGAGAACGCGGCACGACTAGCGTTTTCTACGCCTATATGTGAATGGCGCAGCAGCATAGCTTGCACTCCACAGTCTTGTCTTTTTTTTTGTAAAATTCAGCCAGACAAAAGATTTAGATTTCTTGGAGATTTTGTCGACTAAAGCCAAAACAAATAGCATTCTAACTGAATGAATACAGCAGAACTACCTATATTCTTTACTGATCACGAAGCTGCAATGCAGCCAGCCACAGGTGCGGTTCCCGAGTGTTCTACATGGTGCGCTATACTGGCGCAGAATAGCCTAAATTAAAACATTTAAATTTGGGGATAAAACATAGGCTAATTATATTTAGAATACAGTAATATATAACTGCTTATAAAGGAATAAATATCAAGGAGTAAATCAATTAATTTATTTCTGTTGGTAAAAATTATGCAACTTGTCGACCAATGAGAATGTCAGTCGACCAAGACGGCATCAACTGATTAGTCGACTAAACGACTAAAGTTGACAGCCCTACTAGTCAGTGATGTCTGTTTTGATTTTTTGACTGTTATAAATTGTTTATATTTGTCACTCATCTTTCTGAAACAAACTACAAAGAGAACTATTTCCTTTTAATAAGGAAATAAATATAATTTTCTATTTGATAGCAATACCACTGTCACATGACACCTATCACAGGTCTGAGCTCGTCACTGTCATCACTGCAAAAAACAAAACAAAAAAAACCTTTACATGTTAACATTGTGTTGAATAACATGGATTCATTGATTGTAATGACATGGATTGTGTCTAATGACATTGTGTCTTACATGGATTCATGGTTTTCTAAACAAACATTATCAAAACATGGAGCAAATCCGACCTTTCGCGAGTTGGGGAGTGCAATGTTCCATGCAGGGTGGAAAATTAACTTTTTTGCCCACCAGCCACAGTGGCTGGTGGATGCCCAATTTTACCAGCCACTTATTTTTTACCAGCCACTTTTTCCACAATTCAAATTTATAAAAGAAAGTGCACTAGCATATTTTGAATTCCTTCAATCATTTTTTTAAAATTATTAATACAAAATTAATACATACTATGACTCGTGCTCTTTTATTGACTCAAGGTTAGTTGTTCCTCTAACGAACGAATTGTTTGCATTTTCGGACGACGCATAGGTTCGACAGTAAGTACAGTGCATGGACTGTTCGACGGGAAGGTAGGCTAACCATTCCCTCGGTTTCCCTTTATCATCAATGCGCCACTTGTTCGAAAAGTACCTTCTCTTTTTATTTACTTCGCCCTCAACAGTTTGTACATTCATAGCTACTGCTGACTCCGCGGCGGGCCTCTTAACACCGGGTTTATGTCGCCACATTTTTTTAATTTTCCTTTCGTCTGTACCTCAGCTATATGTGTCACGGTCCGTTCAGCGCTGTGTCCGTGTCGCACAGCACTGAAAACCAATCAAATTAGTTACTCGACAAAAGTGCATTATTGTTACTTAGCAACAGCATTCTTTGACAAAAGCTGTCCAATCCGTTACAAGGAATGTTTTTAGTAACCAATAAAAATGTTTTACAATCTACCCGCCACTGTGGCTGGTATACAAGGCAAAGTCACCCGCCACTTTGAAAAAGTACCCGCCATTGGCTGGTGGCGGGTGCTAATTTCCCACCCTGGTTCCATGATGCGTAATAACATTCCATTCGTAGGGTATTGACTGTAACCCCTTATTTACACTCTTCAGTGCGTTACAGCTGTGATGCTCGGCTACCAGAGCTGATTGCGCCCAATCTAGTGAATGCTTGTGTTTACACCAGCCACGACGCAGCATTTCAGAAGCGTCTCTCCACGCCGCTTACCTAAAGATTAGGGCTGCAACAAACGATTATTTTGATAATCGATTAATCTAACGATTATTAGAACGATTAATCGACTAATCGTCGATTATTTCGCAGACTAATCAGTAAGTTTGGAACGATTATTCAGCTTTTCCAATTAGTTAAAACATTGAGTTATACATATTCTAACTATAATATAAAAAAAGAAAATCACTTCAGCTTTTGAAATAGTTGTTTTAATGAACTTTGAGCCAACTAAACAGGTCATTCTCTTTAAGTTTTCAGATTTCGGTCCAACTCAAATCACACACAAATGCTCTCTAAGCATTGTTTAATAGGCCCACTGCTTTTCTTAGAACTGAAACAGAAAAAGGGACATTTACTTCAGGACACAAAGAATGGTAAAATATTAATCTGCAAACAATTATTATAATTATAAAATTGCAATATTTTTTTACATGACAATTGAGCTGACAGAGACGTTCTCATTCACCTTTTAATTTATAGTATGATAAAGTAACTGCTATGATATTCTTCCTATATCATAGGAAGGATATAACATCTCGTTTTGTAAGTCTTCATGATTATTGAACAAAATACAGGCAAGTGATAAGACTATAATAATACCTAATATACTAATAGTGTTACAATAATAAAAACAGCCCTGACTCCTAAGCTCGATCAAGCTTTATTCTATACAAAATAAGTCATCACATTACTGTAATTATATTACTATTGATAATATTATTACTATTATTAGTAGTATTGCATTCTCTAATAAAGAGAGATTTGCCGCTGGTTAGTAGGCTAAGCTCCAGCTGGAGAACACTCACTTCTCACCGGCTCCTCTTTTGCCGGGATGTTTCCTCTTGCACTCCAACATGCATGTTGTGCTCCCGTGAAAATTGCACAAGACAGCATTCTTGATTTGAAGTTTTGTGAAACTTTCCCAAACCTAAACCTTGCTAGTTCGGATTCGTTTGCACTGTCATAATTCGCGCTGTTTTCTCTTCTACCGCAATAGCATTTGTAAGGGCTGCACTACACTCTAGCGCTACAGCGCCGTAGCGGTCAAATCGCGGGATTGCAGGCCCTTACATTAGGTCACGTGAGATCAAACGACTACTCGACAACAAAGATATTTGTCGACAAATTTTTATTGTCGACGTTGTCGACAACGTCGACTAATCGTTGCAGCCCTACTAAAGATAGGCGCCTAGTTTATATTCGACAGACACCATGTCCAAGCCACACCGCACCTTATATACAAAATAAGAGTAAAGGTCAATTTCAAATATTTTGCGAACTAGTCCCTGTTTTTTTGCCCAAACGGGACCAGACCAGTCTAGGACAATTCTCTGGACTCTCTAGGTCAATAATTATCAAAAAAGTTGAACTTTTGTGTTTTTCATATTGTTATAACAGGATGATTTAGAAAAGGGGCGTGGCAATAACTCAAAAGCCTATAAATCATAAATAAAAACTCAGAACTTCACAAATTGGTGAGCATGTGACAACATAGTTAACAAACATGCAACATTTTATGGAGATCGGACCATAGGTGGCGTTATAACTGTTAAAAAGCTTTAAGACCATATATTTCCTATGGTAAATTGCCTGTATTGCCTGTAAATTGTTGTTTCCATCTATTATGTCACTGGTTAGGGTTAAGAGGCGCAAAATTAACGTTTTGGGAGGAGCCTATTTTTCTAAAATGGCTATAACTCAAAGTAAATGATATCTTCACTAAACTTGGTACACATGTGAATGAGTTCAATCTGAGGTCACAGTAAAAACATTGTGACGATCAAACAGTAGGTGGCGCTATAACATGAAAAAAAAAAAAAAATGGCTATGACCACATGACCGTTAGTCCGATTGACCTGAAATTTGGTGTGCAGTGTCTTGGTACCATGTATGTGTAAAAGGATAATGGCATATCTAAAAAAACATGGCCGCCATCGACCAATGAATTTTGAGCACATTAAACAAGGTTAACGGACGCCGAGGTTAACGGAGAATTTTGAAAGAAATCGGCCTTTGGCGCTAAAAAGTTTTACAGCTCTGTAATCACGTGGTGTTGCACACATCCACACAATATGCATATCTTTGATAGATCTAGTTAACGAAAATGTTATAAACCTACTTTTGTGAACTAGTCCTAGCTTTTTCGCTCAATCGGAACCAAACCAGTCTAGGACAATTCTCTGGACTCTGTTGAATTTCCTATGGTAAAATGCCTGTATTGGCTGTAAATGGTCTTTTCCATCTATTATGTCAGTGGTTAAATGTATGCTAAATAAAACTTAATGTCTTAAATGCTTATGTGCTTAAAGGCCTTAACTGCTTGAACCCCGATAAATGCTGCTTGCAGCTTTAATATGTGATTGAATTTGATGTGGTTAGGAAAATTAATAACAGTTAGGTTAATGAATAACAGAAGAAGAAGAAAAATCCCACACCATCCAGTGCATGCCCTGTGTGATGTGTAAAGTTATGGCAGAAATAAAATGGTTTGAATCTCAAAATGATCACAAAGAAAGAATATGAATACAACCTATATTGTTGTCTTTTTAAAGATTATTGATATTTTTTCTTTCTATAAAAATATGCAACGGTTTGGTTTACCCTTTAACAATATTTGTTAAACAGCTTTCAGGGCTCATCAGGGGGAAGCAGTTCGTCTGGCTTGTAAAATTGTCCCGTTTGAGGCTTTTCAAATTGCAAGGGAGTGGGCGCAGTATCAGATCAACACACCTATAGATACTGGGAATACAACACGTGAGTATTGTTCCTACCCTTTCTAATGGTAGGTACTTTTTAATCTGGAAAACGTTTGTGCTGTTTTTGTAAATGTGCTGCTGCTTTCTATTTTTTTTTTGTCACAACTGTGTGACATATTCTTCATAACCGGTTCAGACCCCTGGTTCATTGCATTGGAAACATTATTTTAAAGCTGCCGTCGGCAACATTTTTTTTATCATATTCACTGAAATCGACACTATAATCCGACAGATCAACATAAATAAAGTTGTTTTAGAAAAAAAACCCGAGCTTCTAACTCCACCTGGAGCGTGTTATTTGTTTTGCAAAAATCCACAGCTCCCGGATCATCGGGTCCAATCAGCGCAGGGGTGTGTGAGATCTGACTGTCAATCACAGATCGGGCACACGCCACCCCTCGCACACGTAACAATCACATGCACACGCCTGAAGTTCGCGCAGTAACGAAGAGTGATGGCGGATGCATCTCGCTTTCAAAACACTAACAAATCAAGTAAGCTCATTTAGAGTATAAATGACATTAGCAATTGCAATCTATCGGTAGATTAGCCAGGACAGCATACCTCCAAATACTCCATGGTGTTGATGGATGCTGATGAGACGGGCACGTTCACAGATAATCTGGTGCACACGACGAGCACGAACTCGGTGGGAGGGTATCCGTTGATAGTGGGGGAGGGGCATGAGAGTTGTAAACATTCAAAATTTTGCCTAAGTCCACTCAATCTGCCAGACTTGCCGACTGCAGCTTTAATGCAAAGATTACATGATGAGGTAGAATTCTGACAAGAATTAGACCTGTTTTTCAGACACACAGCTTTAATCATTTAAAGTCCCTGTAAAGTCAAAATTAAGTATGTGTTCTGAGTTTGTCACACCACAGAAAAATGTGTTATTAGCCACCCAGCCAAATTTAAATTATAATAAAGCCGGCAAGTACATAAAATAAGCTATCAAAATCTTGAAAAAATGAGCATTATTCTCTGCTCTCAAACGCTGGGGGCGTGTCCGCTGGCTGCGCTGAAACCACGCCCACTCGCGGGAAAGCTTCCGACGGTGATATTAGGTGATACTGCTTTCGGGACGGGGAGATGAAGGCCGAGGCGGGAGATAGTCGGTTCGGCCCCATTCACCAGTAACAGCGGATTATCAGTGAATCCCAGTTGTCTCCGACCAAAGTTTATAAAACTATCCCGTGTAAAATGATCACTACAGAGGCGGGTGTTGGTGGTGATCCTCAGCTCTCCATCAATGTTGGCTCTTCACAAAATGAATCCACCTTGATGTGTAGATGTGATGTGATCGTTTTTAGGAAATTTAAATAAAGACACCGATCTGTTTTGTACATGATCGCATCCAGGTAGTAGCCTACGCATTTCCGTGTCGAAGGCATAGCTAGCTAGCAAACTGTAGGCTGTAGTAACGGTAGTAACTAATAGTACTGACAGTAACTCGCAATTGAGCGCCAAACTGATGTGAATGTGCTCTATTGTTAGGGGAGGGGCCAGCCTCAGTGGCCTCAGTGCGTCATCAAGTAGGGGTGTGTCCAGGAGCTCATGGGCTCCAGTGCGTCATCAAGTAGGGGTGTGTCCAGGAGCTCATGGGCTCCAGTGCGTCATCGAGTAGGGGCGTGTCCAGGAGCTCATGGGCTCCAGTGCGTCATCGAGTAGGGGTGTGTCCAGGAGCTCATGGGCTCCAGTGCGTCATCGAGTAGGGGTGTGTCCAGGAGCTCATGGGCTCCAGTGCGTCATCGAGTAGGGGTGTGTCCAGGAGCTCAGGGGCTCCAGTGCGTCATCAAGTAGGGGCGTGTCCAGGAGCTCATGGGCTCCAGTGCGTCATCAAGTAGGGCCGTGTCCAGGAGCTCAGGGGCTCCAGTGCGTCATCAAGTAGGGGCGTGTCCAGGAGCTCATGGGCTCCAGTGCGTCATCAAGTAGGGGCGTGTCCAGGAGCTCAGGGGCTCCAGTGCGTCATCAAGTAGGGGCGTGTCCAGGAGCTGCAGTGCGTCATCAAGTAGGGGCGTGTCCAGGAGCTCATGGGCTCCAGTGCGTCATCAAGTAGGGGCGTGTCCAGGAGCTCATGGGCTCCAGTGCGTCATCAAGTAGGGCCGTGTCCAGGAGCTCATGGGCTCCAGTGCGTCATCGAGTAGGGGTGTGTCCAGGAGCTCATGGGCTCCAGTGCGTCATCGAGTAGGGGTGTGTCCAGGAGCTCATGGGCTCCAGTGCGTCATCGAGTAGGGGTGTGTCCAGGAGCTCATGGGCTCCAGTGCGTCATCGAGTAGGGGTGTGTCCAGGAGCTCAGTGGCCTCAGTGCGTCATCAAGTAGGGGCGTGTCCAGGAGCTCAGGGGCTCCAGTGCGTCATCGAGTAGGGGTGTGTCCAGGAGCTCATGGGCTCCAGTGCGTCATCGAGTAGGGGTGTGTCCAGGAGCTCATGGGCTCCAGTGCGTCATCGAGTAGGGGTGTGTCCAGGAGCTCATGGGCTCCAGTGCGTCATCGAGTAGGGCCGTGTCCAGGAGCTCATGGGCTCCAGTGCGTCATCGAGTAGGGGTGTGTCCAGGAGCTCAGTGGCCTCAGTGCGTCATCAAGTAGGGGTGTGTCCAGGAGCTCATGGGCTCCAGTGCGTCATCGAGTAGGGGTGTGTCCAGGAGCTCATGGGCTCCAGTGCGTCATCGAGTAGGGGTGTGTCCAGGAGCTCATGGGCTCCAGTGCGTCATCGAGTAGGGGTGTGTCCAGGAGCTCAGTGGCCTCAGTGCGTCATCAAGTAGGGGCGTGTCCAGGAGCTCAGGGGCTCCAGTGCGTCATCAAGTAGGGGCGTGTCCAGGAGCTCATGGGCTCCAGTGCGTCATCAAGTAGGGGCGTGTCCAGGAGCTCATGGGCTCCAGTGCGTCATCAAGTAGGGGCGTGTCCAGGAGCTCATGGGCTCCAGTGCGTCATCAAGTAGGGCCGTGTCCAGGAGCTCATGGGCTCCAGTGCGTCATCAAGTAGGGGCGTGTCCAGGAGCTCATGGGCTCCAGTGCGTCATCGAGCCCCATTTTAGCCCCGCCAAAAAAATCCGGAAAATAGCAATGGTGAAAAACTGTTTAACAGTCTAACTCCACAATTCAGTACTTCACAGTTCACAGTCTTTGTAATATGTTTTAGCAATACATTTCTAACATTTATAATGTGTTTAGAATTTTTTTTTAGAATTACCTTTACAGGGACTCTAACCTCAGGATATGCCAGGTTCCAAACGTTATTTAAAATTTCTCCAAAGAGTCACCGTAAAGCAGAAAAACATTTCATAAACAATAGTCCAGTTCAAACATATAAGGCTGCACTCCGCTACTGGGTATTAATGACATTTTGCCTGAGAGAAATCCGGCTGTTATGATGTTCCAGTACCCGAAGCTCGTGTAAATGATCGGCCGTCTTCTGAACGGGAGCAGGGAGCAGCAACTCAATTGCATTTAAAGGGACACACAAAAATAACTGAGCGTTTTCCCTAACACCCAAAAAGGGGCAACTTTGACTATTACTGGGTGGTATTTTGAGCTGAAACTTCACAGATACATTCTGAGGGCATCAGATATTTATATTACATCATGTGAAATGGGCACAATAGGTCACCTTTAAAGCATCCACTCCTAATATCTTGGTCCCAGATACCACAGGACACACTCAGAGGTCTTGTGGAGTTCATGCCTTAACACATCAGAGCTGTTTTGGCTGCATATTGGTTTTAATGTTTTGGCTGATGATCAGTGTACCTATGTCATAAAGCTTTGATTCATTGTGGAATGAGATTGAGTTTGATTTACATTAAATACATACAGATTCTCATTCATGAGGCGCTGCCTCATTTGTTTACAAATGTTCACGTTAATTCATTTTATTCATAGACTTAAAACACTGATGTTGGTTACCACAGGCAATAATCGATTGATGCTAATCACTGGTACATGTGTATTACCTTAGAACGTTCCTTTGCATGCCTTCATTTGTGTCTTATTGTTGTCTGTTGAAGCTAAGATAGATAAGGTTCTCTGTTCTGCTCTGTCCCCTTCAGCGGTTCAGTGGGATGCCATGACTTTCTTCACTGAAAGTGTATTTGGACAGCTCTTCAAAATCCTTGAAAAAGAGGCAAGACCATCCAATGTCTTTCATGGTACAGCGGTGAGGGCTTTAAAGCGGATCTTGTTATTGAGACTTTTTTCCCACTCCTGTAGAAGCTTCCCATAGATGAGGGCATGGAGCTGCTGCAGATGGTTGTAAACTATGAGACAAGAGATCCTCTCATTCTGTCCTGTGTTCTTACCATCATATCCACTCTCTTTCCCTTCGTCAAACACCAACCTCAGTTCCTGCCTCAAGTACTCGATAAGGTGAGGGATATAATCTGCTGTTTCAGCACTGTAAAGCGTTGTTTAAATCTTGGAAAGCATTAAGGCTCAGTCATATTTACTGTTGTACAGCAAAATGTTGCATTGGAATCTGCACGATCAGAACTTTTGCTTAAGAGCGAAAAAGTTCCAAATGCAAATTTTGCTCATGTTCAAGTTGGTCACATGAATTCACCACACTGACCAACAGGAAGCTGCTTGGTTTGAGCCTCTGTGTGAGAATGCTTTATACATCTCTAAGCCAGTGTTTCCAAGACCAGAAATATATGGGTCAGAAAAGGGAGACATCAAAAATGTGCACTGTTGGTGTGCCTCAAGGAGCAGGGTCGGGAAACACTGCTCTAAGCTATTGACAATGGCCTTTTTTCTTCTTCTTCTTTTTTTGCTAGTGTGAATGTGATCGCACCTTTTATAGATTTGAAATGCCGAAATATAAGCAAAATGAAAAACTAACCAGGTGAAAAGCGGTTCACCAGGTATAAGCATTCTTCGTGCCCGAGATGACAACAAAGTGCTTTGCACACACTAAAATACCATCTAACCCCTCATTTAGGGGTGTCGAAGAAATTGTAGTTTTAGGATGTCTCGATGTTTAGGTCAAATTACTTTTTTTTAAAATATATATACCTGTGGTCAGGGCTTGACATTAATGTTTTTACTCACCAGCCCCTGTGGCTAGTTGTTTTCCAAAGTTACTAGCCACTCAGCATTTTCACTGGCCACTAAGAGAAACTGCCATATAGATATTTTTAATATTATCTCATAATTTGGCAGCAGGTATATTAGGCTGCTGTCACTTTAAGAGCTAATGCACCCACTCATACTGTTACACATGCATTTTCTTTCTCAACTGTTTGCTTATTTAACACAGTGAGGGGAGGCGGTTTTGTGTGTAACTTGCTGTCGAAGAGATAGGAGAGCGAGAAAGCGCAGCTGGTCTCATGTATAGACCTTATGTAGCCACGGCCCTTTTCCGCGCTGAGCTCATTGTCTTTTGACTTCCGGTCTGAATTTTCACAGCGATCTTGCCTAGTTATGAATGAACGGCTCGTTAAAAAAAATTCTCAAGGTCCATTTGTTAAGATATGCTTTACAATGCTTATCATAAACATTACAATGCTCATTATAACTTTCGTTAACTCTACAATAAGTCAATCAACTTCACCAGCTAATTACTCCTGGACAGCGATGCCATAGAAATATACAGAGCAACCGCAAAAACGGAAGTTCAAAGACAATATTCTAAAGATGGCGGCGCCCTCGTTTCTCTGGTGAAAAATATTCTGCGAAAAATGTCTATCTTTAGCCTGGTTAAAACCAGACCATTCTCAGTTGTAACTGAGTTATGGTCTGGCAAAGCTTCATAGACAAATCATTTCCAGAGGGGCGTCACCAACAGACGTCGCGGATAGACCTAAAACCAATCAGAGCGATGAAGGAGATGACGTATGCAGAGCGGCGTTCGTCTGTTATAGAACTTAGTTTGAATAAACGAGCAGACACTGGTTAGCTACTTGCTCTACGTTTATTTAAAATTAAGCAAGACAACTAGAAGTGAATGTGCTTTCCATTAAATAAATCACACACAGTAAAAAAAAAACGACGCGCAAACTGGGTGCCGGTGCGGTGAGACGTACATGCTCGGGCAGATTCGGCTTGAAGTCGTTCATCCTCGGACTCGGCGCCACGCGCGCTGTTACTAAAAAAGCCAAGCGAAATGGGGTCTTGCCGGTCTTGCGCACCAAACGCGTCATTTTTGCCGCGCGCACCTTCGCGCTCGTGCGGACGCGTCGAGTATAAACAAGGCTTTACTCCCACTGATCTGTATAATGACTGGATAGCTCATGACGTTCTAAACTGCCACCAGGCAGTGAAGCCACCGGAAGTGTTCGAGCGGCCATCTTACGATTCCCTACCAGCAGAGGGCTCCAACGGCCGTTATACAGAGATAGGTAGCTCCGACGGCACTTTTAAGATGACCCGCTGCGCATCAACAAGTGTAAAACGAAGATCACAAAAGGATCTTGAAAAACTGCTCACAGGTTGTACTTTAAGCCCATATATAGTCATTTATATGCACAATTGTCGCTATTTCCGTGTTGTTTAAATTTTTTTTATAGCCTACTATGCATTCTTTCACAGACGTATTCAAGTTTAAACCCAATAAACGTATTATTCAATGCATTACTTCTTATAAATTTAATTAAATGCATATATTTAATATTTTCATGTCAATCCGTGTTCAGTTTGACCACGAACCATGCGCTGTCACTTTAATTCAGCGCCTGCAGCACAAACGATCTCTGCACGCACCGCACAGGACCAACTACAGCTCGCTGCATCCGCGTGCAGTGAAAGCTCCAACCTGTTGACATGGGTATAAAAATATGCACTGCAAACGGAGTAGGCCTATGTGTAAACCCCTTATTTACAGTGCACACATCTGCGGCGCATTATGGCTCCGACAATGTTTTATTCCTACCTTCACGCGGTGTCAACTCACACCGGGAGCATTTCCACGTGATTTGCCGATTTGTGGGCGCGATCAGCTCCGGTAGCCGTGTCGCAGCTGTAAACGCGCCGCAGACGTGTGCAGTGTAAATAAGGGCTAAATAAGAGGTGAAACAGGTGTACATTAACCCATACAATTTGTATTATGCATTTCCTGGACATGTTCTTGCTAACTAATAAAATACTTGAACAGACTACTGATCTATCTGTAAAACACAATCAGAAAGAGCTAAATTTTAAGTTCACAATTCACATATACTTAATTTTTAGTAAGCAGGAATAATTTCCGACTTTAAACAAATACCCATTTAATTGCTTAGGATGTTTGCGTTGTGAGACTGTTCAGGGAGACTTTAGATTTAAAGACGGTGTCTCGTTATGCAATGTTTTCTCAGTCAAATCATACAATTTCCTATTGATTCAATAGAACGCGTGAGCTCCCTAGGGAATCACAATATGGCGGCGCGGTGGCTTCACTGTTTATGACGTCATGAGCTATCCAGTCATTCTATCCACCGTATTCCTACGCCCCATGACGCTTTGCGCGAATTATGGGTGTAACTTCCGTTCTGTAAACAATCTAAACAATCAGTGAAAGGCTCGCTCTATGTATGAACGCAATACGTTAAAAAAAGTGTCACAATGAGATGACATTAATCGACTCACCCTTCAACCATCGAACATTAAAATGAAATTTAACAGTTTAAAAGAATCAACAAGGTATACTTTCAACAGACTATAAATAGCCCCAAAAGTACGAGTCTTTGGTTAAATACCACAGGCAAATATACGATCTGTATTGTATAACAAGCCTTAATCAAAAATGTTCATTAACTTCAGCATTACGTGACACTATATCAAAGTGATTTCCGTCATTTTGACAGATTATAAATTGCATTTACCTGTGAAAACAAACCTGGAAAGAGACGTGAGGATTTTAGGAGAATAACGAGAGATTCTTCGTCCATTCCAGTGAATTATTAATGGAATATTGTAAATTAAATTCGGGAGAACAGACCACAAATGTGCCGTATATGTTGTCCTTTTTCATACTCTTACAGCGGATTGCAAAGGAAAAAATAAAAATCATCACGAGGAAAAGAAAGCAGCGACTGAAAAGAGCTCTTGCCATAGATATTCTTGTTATAACATGTCACGTTAAAATACCAAGTATAACGTTATTCTCATAATGTCTGAAAATAAATCATGAAGGAAAATTGACAGCTCATCCAGTCAAACTGACGGATCAGCTTTATTTGTAGGGCAACCTTATGATTTGAAATGCTTCGTTTCAGCCTTTTTGAATGGAAGTTCTCCAAACCGGAAGTGCCGCCCATAATTCAAAACGCAGTAAGGTCGTCAGGAATAAGGTGGATATAGATCAGTGTTTACTCCATGTCAGCGCGCGCTCTGATCGGTAAAGGGGCACAGACCTCTCCCGAATCATTTCCAGCAGTAGCAGCCTCCGTTTCCCTCTTAAGCTGATATTAGTATTTAAACATTCTCTATGATAAAAAATGTTTGTGAAAAAAATATTTTAATAACATGGTTTTGGCGGTTATAGAGTTCTAATGACGGTGTTCAACTATAAACGTCACACCCTTAGTTCCACGGCGGCATCCATCTTTGTAAATGTACAAAATCTGCTTCACCGTCGCTGTGCTGTCCTCATCGTGTAAAGCCCGCCCCAACGTTTCTGATTGGTGCCGCGATTTCAACGGATTAGAAATGGGCTTGAATGAGCTCTTTGCCAGACTAACTTGCAGAGCAAATCTAAATTTGCCTGAAGTTGTCTGGGTTTTCCCAGGCTACTCTATCTTGCCTGTGGTGCAGTTATATACGGCTTATGATCTAGAATCAATCAATAAGTAATACATTCTCTCCCCATAATGTTTTTTTGTCCTCTCTCTGCTGTTGTATTTATAAAAAGTCTTATGTCATGCATTTACATATTGTTTTGTTGTTTTTTATGTATTAATAGCCTGTATATGTTTTATTTAGTGCCGTTCTAGAATCGTTAAAGACCTACCAACATGTCTTTTTTCCCTTCTAAGGTATTTACTGCCATCACGTTTGAACTGGTTAATGAACGGTGGTTCAAGGTAAGGTGATGACCATACTTGTAAACATATCTGCATATCATTCTCTAATCAAACAGTCTTGTTGACATTCAGTGGATGTGTTCAGGCACCTCGAACGCGAGCTGTAAAGAACGTCAGAAGACATGCCTGTTCTTCCATCATTAGGATGTGTCGAGATTATTCAGACCTTATTCTGGTATGTTAAAGCATGCAGGTACAAAAAATAGTTCTACACAATGCAAAACATGCTTTTTAATTGTATTATGTTTTGTTCTGCTTGTTTTACTGCTGGAAAAGGATTTCAAAATAGATATAGATAGATTTGAACTTGATATCAGCCTTAAGAAATGATGTGATATATTAGCATTCTCTTTTGATATAAACGCTAACGATAATATATTATTTTTTATGCATTGCAATGCAGCCATGCTTCGACATGATGTATGAGCATGTGAAGAGGTTGTTCTCAAATGAGATGCTGCTGACACAGATGGAGAAGTGTGCTCTTATAGAAGCCCTGATACCGATCAGCAATCAGTTTAAAGACTATAACAAGCAGAAAGCCTTCCTGGAGGAACTCATGGCACCTGTTACTGCCCAGTGGCTGTCAGAGGAGATGAGGAGGTATGGATGGATGCTGTTACCCAAACTGGCCTTTACTGAGTTTATTAAACGGATGTTGAAATGAATGAATGATGTGTGATCCTTCTTTTATTTCTGTGTTGTGTAGCGTGTTATGGGATCCTGCTACCTTCTTGGCATATGTTGGTGCTGATCAGGTGGTCAGTGACCCTGACACAGAGGACCAGATGGGTATCAACAGGTCACGGGTAGGTGTGCCCTAGGGATGCATGATATATTGAAATTAGATGAATATTGCTATATGGCTTAGTGTTATTATCATATTGCTCAGGCTTTCATTTAATTAAGGGAATATATGTGCTATCAGATTCAGAGTGAAACGCATCATTTACACATGTAGTTCATGAAACACTGTATTTTAGTGTCTCAGAGCAGCTTGGTTCATTTACTGTGAACGAGACACTGTGACCATGTACAGTGCTAAGCATAAGTGAATACATCCATGCTAAAGTTGACTAAAAAGAGGAATAAAAAGATAATCTTTTGGAAATTAATCTTAATGCCTTAATAAAAAAAAAAAAAAGGAAAAATCCAACCTCTAAGGACACCAATCTTCTTTGTGAATGAGTAATGTATCGTAAATAAATGTTCTCCCTTAAAGGGGTCATATAATGGTACATGCACTTTTACAAGTTGATTGTACTGAAATGTGTGTTGGCAGTGCCTGTACACAACCATCATAAAATGATAAAAATCCATCCAGTGGTTTTGTTTTAATCTCCTTATATGTTTTCCCCTGCCTCATATTGAGCTGTTTGATTTTGTGACATCACACGCTCGGAAGCCCCTCCCACGATTGTTGATTGACAGCATCGTTTCAACACAGACCCGCCCTCGCTCGTGAGAGCTGTCAATCATAGTCTGCGCGGACCGGCGCGGTCATTGTTGATGTGCCGGAGCACTGTCTATGAGCAGAATGGCGTCTAAGCGATTGTGGTGTTCTGTTCTTGGGTGTAATAACGAACACAGTCATTTTAATGTTCCTAAATCCGAACCGCTGAAGACGCAGTGGCTGAGTTTGTTTTCGAAGGGAATATTCCCCACGAGCAACGTCAATGCTCTCATGTTTGCGCGAATCATTTCACACACCAGACTGCTTTATAAACGAGGATCAGTATAAAGCTGGTTTTGCTAAGAAGCTGCTCATGAAAAAAGGATCGGTACCAGATATTCGTGTTCCTGCTGAACCTCAAGAACAACTGAAGTGAGTGTAACGTGTTCTTAAACTTTATATGAATATTTCTATTAATCTTTGCAAATCGCTAGCTGCACGCTTCACGATGAATGCGTCTAAGGTTTACACTCAGGGTACATTACGGCATGTTTTCTATGTATGATGTTCTCAATATAATTCATAATCCCACGTTTATACTAAACAACGCGTTATGGTTATTGTGTTAGTGTGTTACAAGTCAGCAAAGCTCATTATCATTTAAAGTCATATGCACTGAAACGGCGTGCTGAAAACAGAGCTGTTTTTGACCAAGTAAAATAAGTGTTTTCTTACAATACTAATGATAATTTTTAATTAAAGTATATTACAAACTTTTAATTTAGACCCTAAAGAATCATACTAGCTTGTACAAAAATGGCATTATATGACCCCTTTAAAATACAGGGGGCATAAGTCAGGACACCCCATGTTAAATTTCCATAGAGGCAGGCAGATTTATATTGATTACTTTCTGTTGATTCTGAAAAATTCTGTTTTTTATTTGTTATTATTTATTGCTATAATGCTGTATTTGTTAAGCTCTAAGCTGTTACTAATCACCTCTAAGATAACGAATGGAATACGGTATGTTGCACATGTTGCTTGCCAATAAATTGTTGTCAATTCGTTGTACTTTCTCATCTCCTCATCTCTTTTTTTATAATTAAAAAACATTGTTGTTAAGAATAGTATAGACGAATCCGGCGAAACTACCGGAAGTAAGCGGGCGCCATAACTGAGCTGTTGCTGGGTATCGTTGCGCCATTGCCTCCTATTGTTTTAGTTGCAACTTGCATCCACTGGAATAAACAGCCCGCGATTTACGACTGTCACTAACGTTACAACTTTTATAATGTCGAGTGGGAAAACATGTTGGCATTTTGAAAAATCATCGGATGCCAGGCGAAGGAGAAAATACTCTTGAATACCTTAAAAACAACAGAAGGGGCGCATTGGTGTAGTAACGTTAGTAACAGTACTGTTATGTCTGTTGTTAATGTTTGATTTGCTTGACTGTGACAGATTTTTTTTTTAAAATAAATTAAATTAAATATGCATTTTTTGTTATAATAACAATTATTTAATGACATAAGTAAAAAATATAATAAATTATGTAATATAGTGCTCAGCAAAATCTCCTCTCTAGCTATTTTTTCTATTCAATTAACAATTGTTCAATTGTTTCTATTCAATAATTCAATTTCCTGAGCTAAATGTAACGTTATGTGACATAATTGTTCTCCTGCTGTTATATTGACCTCTTTCCATGGTTTAAAAACACTAATTGGTCGATATTATGTATACTTTCTAGCTGTACCTTACCCTTGCCTTTTGCAATGTGAAAATGAGATAAATAATGGACACAAATGAAAAACATGAATTCGTTTATTTGATGTCATTCATTTATTTATTGTTGCCAAATGGACAGATCTTTTTATAATTTCCTCGTTAGCCTAGCTAGCTTGCCAAGCTATTTTCATAAATAATCTGTAAGATCGTTTGTACCTTCATCTGTGACTGGAGGCCACTGTCTAACATCATCAACCCAACAAGTCATTCTGCCTGGCTGTAGCTGTCATCGAGGGTGCGTTATCACGGAGGTTTGTTTACATACCGGTAACAGCTCAGTAATGGCGTCGCCACAAGATGGCAGCCTACACAGAACGCTCGTCGGATTCGTGTATAGAATAGTATTGTTTTATTTCAGTGAGTGAGTGAGTGGTATCGGTGATCATATTGGCTACTTCTGCTTCCAGTAATCGGTGATCGACCCCAAAAATCCTGATTAGAGCACGCTTAATCTTACCCATTCATTCTGGTCTTGGAGACTCTTCTAATGAACTGATGAGTTGAATTAGATGTGTTTGATTAGGAAGAGTTAAAAAATTAGTAGTGTTGGCGTGCCTCCAGGAACAGGGTTGGGAAACACTGGTCTAATAGATATGAATATGAGTGGCTTTGATTGGCTTGTGTCTTTTATGGCAGATTAGTTTGTGTGTATACACCATACTTGGCGTTGTGAAGCGTGCTCGTTGGCCTGCTGATCCTGAGGAGGCAAAAGCAGGCGGCTTTGTGATCAGCACTACCTCTGATGGGACCCCCATCTACAGAAACCCTTGTGCAGAGCCTGTGCAGGCCCTTCTGCCCAACCTTTTGGCCCTCATCAGGTACATTAGGTCATTTCTAGAAATTTTGCTTCCAAAATAAGACATTAGATATGTGAAAATAGTCATGATTAGCTTGTGCATATGTACTGTTTTTCTGCTATTGTAACAGTGTAAGTAATTACATATTCTTCATCCTTTCAGGACCCAAAACAGCTTGTTCTTGCCAGAGAACGTAAACCGGCTTAGCAAGACCTTTACTAGAGTCTATAATGATATGGATATAGAGAAGATTTCTGAATTAGGTAGGTTTCTATTTTGTCTTGTCCTAATACAAACACCATAATTTAGGTTCTACTGTGTTACTACTATCTCTCAAATAGTAACAAAAGAGCGGGAGAGAGTTCGGTAAACAAACGTGTAAAGATTTATTATTTAACAGAAGAATTTACATAACCGAGATCCAACTTAAGACAACAATTCAAACACAAAACAACGCCGCTCTCTCACACGCGCCGCTCTCTTTATGCCGTCAGGCTGGGACACGCCTCGCGCGCTGTCACATCCCATAAATTAGACACAGGAGGTGACCTAGAATAGCAACAAGACATGGACATACAGAACAGGAGAAATACATACAGTATATTGCTGGATGTAACAACTGTAACTGGTTAAGTCAAGTCACATTTACATAACACTTTATAGCAGCTTCACAGTAATAAACAGAAAAATAACAGTTACTTTTGCAGATTTCATGAGTTCAGCTGTGAAGCAGCTTTACAAAAGACAATAGTGCAATTTATTCAGCTCATCAGTTTTAATTCAGTTTAGTTCAGTAAAGGTGTCAGTGTTGCAAAGTTAATAAATTGTGAAACAATTTCAATTCAGGTATAAGTAGCTCTTCATTTATTTAGTTATTATTTAATATTATTATTCAAATTGTGTTCTCATCCGCTAGTGTCAGTGCAGTTGAATCGATGGTATGACTGAATATTAATTGTCTTTTAAAAGCCAAACCCTGTTTTTCTTAAAGAAATGACTCCTGTTGTTTCCTACAGGAATTCCTCAACACGTTTTAAATTCCTATGGCACTCCATTGTACAGAAACAATGTTGAGCTTGGCTTCTTCTCCTCACTCTACAGAAACTGGTTGGAACAATCAAGTTCAATGATTGATTTTTCTTTTTTGTTTGTTTGTTTAATAGAATATTTCTCCTCCAATAACAATAAAATAATAACTCTTCTCCAATCTACTTTCATGGTCCTGTTTACCCTTTTCTGTTTTACTTTTTAAAGTTACCAACTGCTTGGGAATGCTGCTCCCTGCTTGCAACAAGACTTTTATGCTATAGAGGGCTTGGCAGAGCAGATTGTTGGTTCGGCCTTCATCCATCTAGACAGTCTTCCAGACCACAGGCTCCGTCCCCTAGTCCATATCCTTTGTATCAAATCTATAAAAAAAATGTTGCTATTAGATAAATATACTAAAAAGTAGAGCTGCACGATTAATCAGTAAAAGATCGTAATCTCGATTCAAACACCCACGCAATCTCATTCCTAAATGACAACAATTCGGCATTGTCTGTTATACCATTGACATGTACAATCACAGCGGACATTCAGATCTGTGTTGGCGCTGCCACTGAACCAGAGAGAGCAGTTGTCATGTATAGGTACGAAACAGCTTCACAAACAGTCTTTTCAACCAGACAGTATCTTTTTTTCTGTGTAACAATAATCACACAAGTACTGGTATAAAAGTTAATAGTTTGGATATGAACACAGATGTCTACGGTAGTGATCAAAATATAGTAAATCACCTCTTGAAAGTAACTTTTAATAAAAATCATATCAATTAAAAATTTATTTGTCATTGAATCATTCACTCAAAACGCTTATTCATCCAGTAATGAAACAAGTGAAGTCTTTATGAGTCATTGAATCATTCAGTCAAACTGATTGTTAAAAAAATATTCATTCAAATTAATTTTAAAAAAATTGTATAGACTGCAGCTATTATTAGACATTTTGTCAGAACCTCTAATAAATAACATGTTATTTTGTTGAATTGTCTGTTCAGAATCGTGGGAGAATCTTGATTTCTCTTTCAAACTAAAAAATTGTGATTCTCAATTTATCCAGAATCGTGCAGCTGTATTAAAAAGTCAATTTGCCGGTAACACTTAAAGCTGCAGTCCGTAACTTTTCCTCTTTGTCGCCATCTCTCTGTTCGAAATCTGTAACTGCAGTGATTCGCGGAATTATTATCTTTACGTGGGTTGTAAATCGGCATGAAACAGCGCGGATGAACACAGTGCTTTGAGGCGAGTGCTGCTGTCAGTCACCGCGCTGTGTGGATACTGTCATACAGAATCACAGATTCACTTTTTGAAAGTTTGACCAACATAAGAATTTTCATAAGAAAATGTCTTCTGAACAAGTAAGTAACATCCATTTTTGTTCTGACCAACTAAGGGGGAAAAAGCATTCGACATGATGAACTTCGTTAGATTTAATCAACGCGATTTACAGCAACCGTGCAAATTATAGCCAACTTTGTTCTCAAATTCATGTTAACAACATCACATCAGCATAGCGTGACTAATGTTAAATTTAATGTGTTTTATGGTTACCTGTGTAGTTCAGAATTCATATTCTCCATAATAGCAAAACGAGAAAGGCACAACAAAGGAAACTCCATAACTGTGTGAATTAAGAAAACGTACTGTTACACGATTGAACTATTGAAATGTCTTACTTTTTCAGCAGAAAAAAGCCGTCTCTTCTTCCGTTTCGAACCCCTTCAAAACACGGAGTTCACGCACTTTTCAAAACCCCGCCGATGTTTAATCCTTGTGTTCGCATGAGACGGTTTCTTTCTCTTTCTCTAGCCACCTTAAATTCGAAGTACGAAGTCTTTTGGGTTTTATAACTGCTGAATCTCCAGTTGACACTGATGATTGTTGTTTGGATCTTCCTGGATGCCATAAGTTTAATTATGTAAAGTGCTGCGAGAAAAGCCTATACTATACATCTAAACATCTCGTCACGCGCAGTATAGCCGGCTAGCCGAAACTCCTTCTTTATGTGTACGGGTGTGACGTAATGACGCAAAGACATGCTCGAATTTCCCGTGGAAACCCACCAGTACCACTGGAATTAAAATCATTATTACAAGCTAACCGTTTTGAATCTAGCTATGGCAAGCAGATAGTTTTGACCACTGGCAGAATACGTTTTTTTTAATATAATTATTTTGGATTATTTTTAACTTAAAAAAGTTACAGACTGGAGCTTTAATAATAATGGTACCTAAATAATCATCTAGTATTACCTAAACTAATAGATCACCATGAGCTTCTGATCAAGAATGAATAAAGAACTAAACTTTTACAGTTTATTTATTCATATTTCTTCTATCTGTATTTTAAGTCTATTTTGCTACTATGTGAAGAAAATCCAGCAAAACCGACCCCTAAGGGTTAATGCAAAATAATCATGTCACAAAGTACCAGATGGCAAAAGTTTAAATATTGACAATATTATTAATGTCATACTCAGTTAATTACTCAGATTTAATTCAAAGCCTGAGTACTTCTCGTTTATTGATTTAGTTTAGCCCTAAATGTTAATTAATGCATTTACTATCAAACATGTACTAACATATTCTTAAATAATGCATTAACTTTCAAACATGTACTAAGGTATGTGTTATTCAGGCATGATTCCATATGACTCCAGTCATAGTTAGGGTTAGCTCTTTTTCAGTCTTGATTCATTTTTAAGTATCAATTTAGGTATTAGTAGGTGATTGTTTAGCAGCCCTTGTTATAAAGTGTTATCCATCTGTCCATCCATCCATTCTCAGACTTACACTCACCTTGGACTATGTAAGTGACATCAATAATGTCACTTAATTCCTGTTGTCATTGACTCATGAATGAACTGATGTAGGGTACCGTTTGTTTTTGTTGTTTTCCTTAATGTCTTTCACATGTCTTCATGAAGCAGCTGGTCATGTCCTGTCCTCGTGAGTACTATGACAGCCTCCTCCGTCCCTTGCTGGGTCCATTATTTGCCTTTCTACTGCAGGTAAACTTCACATCACACCCAATAAATGAGCCGAAAATGGTTAGGACAACTACTTGATAATTACTGCGATTCTAAGACAAAAATTATAATAACTAAGGTCAAATAGGATTTTTCAAAAATAACCATAACATCATGATGGTTAATTAAAGCCCATTTTAAAAAATTTGAATTTTTTTTAACTTAAAATGGCTAGGACAACTATTGCAATTTATAAATCTATGTAACATCTCATGATTATGAAGGTATTTTAAAGCACAATTTTAAATCCCACCTCGTTATTTTGAAGGTAATTTTTAAGCCCTTTTTATTTAAATGTACACACATCAATTCAGAATAGCCACTCCCTCTCTCACACTGCACACTGAGTGGCCACTCCCCCTCTCACACTGAGTGGCCACTCCCCCTCTCACTCTGCACACTGAGTGGCCACTCCCCCTCTCACACTGCACACTGAGTGGCAACTCCCCCTCCACACTGCACACTGAGTGACCACTTCCCCTCTCACACTGCACACTGAGTGGCTACTCCCCCTCTCACACTGCACACTGAGTGGCCACTCCCCCTCCACACTGCACACTGAGTGGCCACTCCCCCTCTCACACTGCACACTGAGTGGCCACCCCCCTCCACACTGCACACTGAGTGGCCCTTCCCCCTGCACACTGAGTGGCCACTCCCCCTCCACACTGCACACTGAGTGGCCACTCCCCCTCCACACTGCACACTGAGTGGCCACTTCCCCTCTCACACTGCATACTGAGTGGCCACCCCCCCTCCACACTGCACACTGAGTGGCCCTTCCCCTCTCACACTGCACACTGAGTGGCCCTTCCCCTCTCACACTGCACACTGAGTGGCCACCCCCCCCCTCCACACTGCACACTGAGTGGCCACCCCCCCTCCACACTGCACACTGAGTGGCCACTTCCCCTCTCACACTGCACACTGAGTGGCCCTTCCCCTCTCACACTGCACACTGAGTAGCCACCCCCCCTCCACACTGCACACTGAGTGGCCACTCCCCCTCTCACACTGCACACTAAGTGGCCACTCCCCCTTCACACTGCACACTGAGTGGCCCTTCCCCCTCCACACTGCACACTGAGTGGCCACTTCCCCTCTCACACTGCACACTGAGTGGCCACTTCCCCTCTCACACTGCACACTGAGTGGCCCTTCCCCTCTCACACTGCACACTGAGTGGCCACTTCCCCTCTCACACTGCACACTGAGTGGCCACTTCCACTCTCACACTGCACACTGAGTGGCCCTTCCCCTCTCACACTGCACACTGAGTGGTCCTTCCCCTCCACACTGCACACTAAGTGGCCACTCCCCCTTCACACTGCACACTGAGTGGCCCTTCCCCCTCCACACTGCACACTGAGTGGCCCTTCCCCTCTCACACTGCACACTGAGTGGCCACTTCCCCTCTCACACTGCACACTGAGTGGCCACTTCCACTCTCACACTGCACACTGAGTGGCCCTTCCCCTCTCACACTGCACACTGAGTGGCCCTTCCCCTCCACACTGCACACTGAGTGGCCACCCCCCCTCCACACTGCACACTGAGTGGCCACCCCCCCTCCACACTGGACACTGAGTGGCCACCCCCCCTCCACACTGGACACTGAGTGGCCACCCCCCCTCCACACTGCACACTGAGTGGCCACCCCCCCTCCACACTGCACACTGAGTGGCCATTCCCCCTCCACACTGCACACTGAGTGGCCCTTCCCCTCTCACACTGCACACTGAGTGGCCACCCCCCTCCACACTGCACACTGAGTGGCCTCTCGCCCTCTCACACTGCACACTGAGTGGCCCTTCCCCTCTCACACTGCACACTGAGTGGCCACCCCCCCTCTCACACTGCACACTGAGTGGCCACCCCCCCTCTCACACTGCACACTGAGTGGCCTCTCGCCCTCTCACACTGCACACTGAGTGGCCACCCCCCCTCCACACTGCACACTGAGTGGTCACTTCCCCTCTCACACTGCACACTGAGTGGCCACACCCCCTCTCAAACTGCACACTGAGTGGCCACTCCCCCTCCACACTGCACACTGAGTGGCCCTTCCCCCTCCACACTGCACACTGAGTGGCCACCCCCCCTCCACACTCCACACTGAGTGGCCACCCCCCCTCCACACTGCACACTGAGTGGCCACTTCCCCTCTCACACTGCACACTGAGTGGCCACTTCCCCTCTCACACTGCACACTGAGTGGCCCTTCCCCTCTCACACTGCACACTGAGTGGCCACTTCCCCTCTCACACTGCACACACTGAGTGGCCACTTCCCCTCTCACACTGCACACTGAGTGGCCACTTCCCCTCTCACACTGCACACTGAGTGGCCCTTCCCCTCTCACACTGCACACTGAGTGGCCCTTCCCCTCCACACTGCACACTGAGTGGCCACCCCCCTCCACACTGCACACTGAGTGGCCCTTCCCCCTCCACACTGCACACTGAGTGGCCACCCCCCCTCCACACTGCACACTGAGTGGACACCCCCCCTCCACACTGCACACTGAGTGGCCACTCCCCCTCCACACTGCACACTGAGTGGCCCTTCCCCTCTCACACTGCACACTGAGTGGCCACCCCCCTCCACACTGCACACTGAGTGGCCTCTCGCCCTCTCACACTGCACACTGAGTGGCCTCTCGCCCTCTCACACTGCACACTGAGTGGCCCTTCCCCTCTCACACTGCACACTGAGTGGCCACCCCCCCCTCTCACACTGCACACTGAGTGGCCTCTCGCCCTCTCACACTGCACACTGAGTGGCCCTTCCCCCTGCACACTGAGTGGCCACCCCCCTTCCCCCTCCACACTGCACACTGAGTGGCCCTTCCCCCTCCACACTGCAAACTGAGTGGCCCTTCCCCCTCCACACTGCAAACTGAGTGGCCCTTCCCCCTTCAACACTTCGCACTGAGTGGCCACTCCCCCTCCACACTGCACACTGAGTGGCCACTCCCCCTCTTACACTGCACACTGAGTGGCCACTTCCCCTCCACACTGCACACTGAGTGGCCACTCCCCCTCTCACACTGCACACTGAGTGGCCCTTCCCCCTCCACACTGCACACTGAGTGGCCACTCCCCCTCTCACACTGCACACTGAGTGGCCACTCCCCCTCTCACACTGCACACTGAGTGGCCACTCCCCCTCCACACTGCACACTGAGTGGCCACTCCCCCTCCACACTGCACACTGAGTGGCCACTTCCCCTCTCACACTGCACACTGAGTGGCCACTTCCCCTCTCACACTGCACACTGAGTGGCCCTTCCCCTCTCACACTGCACACTGAGTGGCCACCCCCCCTCCACACTGCACACTGAGTGGCCACCCCCCCTCCACACTGCACACTGAGTGGCCACCCCCCCTCCACACTGCACACTGAGTGGCCACCCCCCCTCCACACTGCACACTGAGTGGCCACCCCCCCTCCACACTGCACACTGAGTGGCCACTCCCCCTCTCACACTGCACACTGAGTGGCCCTTCCCCCTCCACACTGCACACTGAGTGGCCACCCCCCCTCCACACTGCACACTGAGTGGCAACCCCCCCCTCCACACTGCACACTGAGTGGCCACTTCCCCTCTCACACTGCACACTGAGTGGCCCTTCCCCTCTCACACTGCACACTGAGTGGCCACTTCCCCTCTCACAATGCACATTGAGTGGCCACTTCCCCTCTCACACTGCACACTGAGTGGCCACTTCCCCTCTCACACTGCACACTGAGTGGCCACTCCCCCTCTCACACTGCACACTGAGTGGCCACTCCCCCTCCACACTGCACACTGAGTGGCCCTTCCCCCTCCACACTGCACACTGAGTGGCCCTTCCCCCTCCACACTCCACACTGAGTGGCCACTCCCCCTCCACACTCCACACTGAGTGGCCACTCCCCCTCTCACACTGCACACTGAGTGGCCACTTCCCCTCCACACTGCACACTGAGTGGCCACTCCCCCTCTCACACTGCACACTGAGTGGCCCTTCCCCCTCCACACTGCACACTGAGTGGCCACTCCCCCTCCACACTGCACACTGAGTGGCCACCCCCCCTCCACACTGCACACTGAGTGGCCACCCCCCCTCCACACTGCACACTGAGTGGCCACTCCCCCTCCACACTGCACACTGAGTGGCCCTTCCCCTCTCACACTGCACACTGAGTGGCCACCCCCCTCCACACTGCACACTGAGTGGCCACTCCCCCTCTCACACTGCACACTGAGTGGCCACTCCCCCTCTCACACTGCACACTGAGTGGCCACCCCCCCTCTCACACTGCACACTGAGTGGCCACCCCCCCTCTCACACTGCACACTGAGTGGCCTCTCGCCCTCTCACACTGCACACTGAGTGGCCCCTCGCCCTCTCACACTGCACACTGAGTGGCCCTTCCCCCTCCACACTGCACACTGAGTGGCCACCCCCCCTCCACACTGCACACTGAGTGGCCACTTCCCCTTTCACACTGCACACTGAGTGGCCACTTCCCCTCTCACACTGCACACTGAGTGGCCCTTCCTCTCTCACACTGCACACTGAGTGGCCACTTCCCCTCTCACACTGCACACTGAGTGGCCACTTCCACTCTCACACTGCACACTGAGTGGCCCTTCCCCCTCCACACTGAGTGGCCACTCCCCCTCTCACACTGCACACTGAGTGGCCACTTCCCCTCCACACTGCACACTGAGTGGCCACTCCCCCTCTCACACTGCACACTGAGTGGCCCTTCCCCCTCCACACTGCACACTGAGTGGCCACTCCCCCTCCGCACTGCACACTGAGTGGCCACTCCCCCTCTCACACTGCACACTGAGTGGCCACTCCCCCTCTCACACTGCACACTGAGTGGCCACTCCCCCTCTCACACTGCACACTGAGTGGCCACTCCCCCTCCACACTGCACACTGAGTGGCCACTCCCCCTCTCACACTGCACACTGAGTGGCCACTCCCCCTCTCACACTGCACACTGAGTGGCCACTCCCCCTCCACACTGCACACTGAGTGGCCACTCCCCCTCCACACTGCACACTGAGTGGCCACCCCCCCTCTCACACTGCACACTGAGTGGCCACTCCCCCTCTCACACTGCACACTGAGTGGCCCCTCCTCAAAATAAACATTCTGACATTAGAGGGATATTATATTTTATTCATGGCCATCATTTGTAGTAGCTGCTCACAAACTGTTTGCTCAAGCGTAGCTTTTTTCCGGAGTTCACTGTGTAGCTGCTCCAGCCAAGGTCTGAACCTCCCCTGAATCATCACGCTTATTCATTTGTGGATGTTAACTGAATCTGTAAGTCAGCTAGAGTGTTTAATTCTGAATATTATATTTTATTCTGGTGCGCATAACGTTATCGTTTTCTCAGAGTTTAGGCTCCTGTGTAATAGTAGTCTAGGCTATTCAGCAACTCAAACATACCAAACCATCAATTACTAAAACACACAAAAACAGATATTGCACTGGCATTGCACTAGTTATGAACAAGCTCAATTTCTTGGGTCCAAACTTTTCTTGAAGCCATTTCTGGTGCTGCTACTGTTTTTCTTTCGGTGACCTCAACCTATTCCTTGCTCTCTCTCCTTGGCTGTTGCTCGTCGCGACACGTGACACCACAGGCTATCGAGTCGGGCGACAGCTCCAGATATTTGGCATGCTAGATATTTGTCAGCGAGCGTTTTTGATGCGTCGTTTAGTATTTCACACATAAAGATTGGCGAGCGCGGATCACCCGCAGATTTGCATGTGATTACAGACCGACCTGTCAGTGAGGTCATTTACTTGCAAATCAAGCTTAAATCGGGCTTAAAATCTTGTAGTGTGAACTAGACTTAAAAGTGAGCCGTACCATGCAGTGGAAAAACGCCATTAGTATTATAATTAAATTTATTAATAAAAGTGAATTTCAAAGAAATTATTATGTATACTTCTAATGAGGTTAAGATGAGGTTCTAATGAGGTTTACAATTGCCTTTATAAAGCTATAAAGGTGCTCCTGGAAAGAATTTAAGGGAGCAGAATCGTCCCTTAATGGAAAAGTTAATTTCCATTAATCTGGCGCTGCTGTGAAACTAACCATTGGTAGAAAAATATATGCATATTTTTAGGAATCAGCTTTCCATGATAGGCCAAGGTTCCAGCACAAAAACACAAAATATCATCCAAGTATCAATATCAAAATATATCCCGTAACTTCTGGAGATATCAATCTGTTTTCAATATTGCACACACCTACTATGAACTTTGAAGGTTGCACAGACACTTCACTGTTATTTTACGTCATTCAGTAATTTTCAGTTATTAAAACAACCAATATTGCTTGTAGTACAGGATTTGTCTAATGCTATCTCCAATTTTTTTGCTTAATTGAAAACAGAGACTGAGCTTTCGGTGGCAGATCATCAACCAAAGGACCGTCAACCAAAGGACCAGTCTGAGGTAAGATATTTTAGTGTTACATAATACTATGAATTTTTGTGTACAGTTCTGGCCACCAGTTCTTTTACAGTTTTTTTTAACACCGCTTTCTTCTCACACGTTTTGTGTGATACCCCTGCCTCGGGTGTGTGTGGTTGAGATTGAAAGAGAGAAGCTGCAGTTGCATGAGACTGACACGAGTCTCTATCCTCCAGAAGCCCCGACTGAAGCCCCATTCACACCACCAGTGACTTTGTAGCTGCATGTCGCTTGTCTCCGCACTTCATGTTTCTTGTGGCTGTTCCTTATGCCGTCTAGACATATCTTTAAAAAAAAAAAGCAATCACAAATGATGAACTTTCCAATCAATCCCACCTTTTTTATTTTTTTAAATTATGATGATTTCACGTTTCATCTCCAAATGAATGTAAAAAAAACATACAGTAGCCATTTAAATATTTGTTTAATGGCATCTTTTTATGGAATAAGGCCAGTTTCACTGTGTCACAGTCATGTTCAGTTTGTTTTGTTTTCATTCAGTTACACGGGTCCCCTTTGTCCAGTTTCCCGGTACTTATGTGATTAGTCCTCTTAGTTCAGCTGTGTCTCCTTATTAACCTTGTTTCAAAATGAAACCATTGCAGAATCTCCATGCAACAGACAGCGATGATTTTTTGACTGAAATCCATTTTGAACGAATCAGTTTAATGTTTCAATGAACAATCACTTGCTTCTTTCCTGAATGAATCAGCCGATTTGAACAAATTGGTTGAATGAATGACTCCCTCAAGTCACTAGACAGTGGCTTGCCGCCACCTACTGGCGGTTATAGTTTCATATTTAAAAGTACCCTTTAATTAAAACGTTAAAATTATAAATAATTTAATATTTAGATTTTGGATTAAAAAAATCCCGTAGCATTATGTATTTGTAAACGCAGTGTAAATATATTAATGCCAGTTCTGATGCTGCTTCTGTGTCACCTCTGCACTGCAAAGATGGATTTTGATTTAATGATTTAATTTGGATGCATAATGGATGGACAATACAAGTAACATGTGCTGATGAGTGAGAAAACAAGCTGCTGCATCAGCAGATATGCATATATCTGCACAATGATGACATAGACAGGAAGGGATAGGAACACCCCCCAAAACAGCAGATCTATCACCAAGACATATGTTCTGTTTTTTGTTTTTTTCATGGGACCTCATGTTTTACTATCTATGTGCGCCTTGGCTACCTTGCCGACTGGCTTAAAGGAATAGTTAATTCTTTAAAATACAGTCAGGTCCATAAATATTGGGACATCGACACAATTCTAATCTTTTCGGCTCTATACACCACCACAATGGATTTGAAATGAAACGAACAAGATGTGCTTTAACTGCAGACTTTCAGCTTTAATTTGAGGGTATTTACATCCAAATCAGGTGAACGTATTTGTATACAGTGCAGATGGACAATGACCCGAAGCATACTGCGAAAGCAACCAGTTTTTTAAGGGAAAGAAGTGGAATGTTATGCAATGGCCAAGTCAATCACCTGACCTGAATCCGATTGAGCATGCATTTCACTTGCTGAAGACAAAACTGAAGGGAAAATGCCCCAAGAACAAGCAGGAACTGAAGACAGTTGCAGTAGAGGCCTGGTGAGCATCACCAGGGATGAAACCCAGCATCTGGTGATGTCTATGCGTTCCAGACTTCAGGCTGTAATTGACTGCAAAGGATTTGCAACCAAGTATTAAAAAGTGAAAGTTTGATTTGTGATTGTTAATCTGTCCCATTACTTTTGGTCCCTTAAAAAGTGGGAGGCACATATACAAACTGTTGTAATTCCTACACCGTTCACCTGATTTGGATGTAAATACCCTCAAATTAAAGCTGAAAGTCTGCAGTTAAAGCACATCTTGTTCGTTTCATTTCAAATCCATTGTGGTGGTGTATAGAGCCGAAAAGATTAGAATTGTGTCGATGTCCCAATATTTATGGACCTGACTGTATCTTCCTTTGTGTTCAGCTGAAGAAAGAAACAAGGTGTTATGTTAAGCATAGCTAATGGAAACATTACACTTGAAATTAAAGAATGTTGTTGTTTCGTTAGGTTTTTTTCACATGTAATCCCATTGAATGTGAATGCTATTTTACTTTAACCTTCTTCTTATACATAGCTTAGACAGCATATACTCACAGAGATACAAACAATAGACCATTTTCTTTTGCACAGACACAACTGCATAACGCTCAAGCTTATGCTTAGTAAATCACTCCACAAGACTATAAACATGACGTTTGTTTAACTGTATTGATTGTTCTTTTAGCGTGACTCAGGCAAAACGAGCGTCTGAATCAACCTCACACATTTAGCATAGCTAATGAAAACAAATCAAATGATGCGTCATTAGAGTTATACCGCTAAATATGGTGAACACCGTTTAAATCGCAAATGCTTATATAACTTTAACTGTTTTCATATCCATGCTAACAGCGTATAAAACATAATAACATACAATGACCTCTGCTGCTGCAATCAGTAAACACTGCTGCTATTCTTCAGTGATTCTCTCGAGCACTTTGGACATGACGCTCTTTAAAACATTTCTAAAATAAAGCTTGTTAAGACTTGTAAAGATTGCTCCATGTGGGAATTAATAACCGGACCACTCTATATACATAGAGATGTTGAATAAAATGCCAATAACTTATCTTAGATGTGAGAATGGCAACATACTAATTTATGTTTTAATAGAATGTATGTTCTCAAGTCGATATTATTATTAATATTGTTGTTATTCATGTTTTAGTGCTCAGGAGGAGGTCTATGAGAAGAACCATGTGACTCAGGAAATGGCGGAGGAGCAGCTGTTGCGGTTGGTCACGCGAGAGGTCATTGACCTAAGTGAGTTTTCCTTATGCATGTGAAGCATTTCAAGTTTTCTTCACTTTGTACTGTATTCAAAAGAAGAAAAAAAAACTTGTGTTTTCAGTTGAGACTTGCGTGAAAAGAAAATGTCCAAAGTTATCAGCAAACAAAGAGGACGCAGATGGTGAGTTAATGATCACATTCTCCATGTATCTTGTGGAAATTTACCAATGAAATTAAAGTCTGACCACTCAATGGTAAAAATTAAATAAACTGCATTGTTCCGAAAATAAGACAATGTTTGTTCTAGAAATCAGACTTCTCCCTCACGGTGTAGTATGGATTAATTTATGCCAGGTCTGATCTGATTGTTCTGCTAGCAGTGATGGAGTACTCGAGTCCTGGACTCGGACTCGAGTCCTTATTCTCTGGACTCGAGTCCGACTCGAGACTCCATTCTCTGGACTCGTGACTCGACTTGGACTCGCGGACTGATGACTAGTACTTGGACTCGGACTCGAGAATATATAAAATCGGACTTGAGCATTCATCAAATGAATGACGTTGTTTCTGACTAAATAGGTTATAAAAAATTGATACAAGATGTTAAACTTTTCCTGTTTCGGGGTCCAAGACCGGCCGTGATCTATTTTTTCCCTCACAGACACTGCTACCGCTCGCTCTCCTTGCTTGACAACACATTCACTGACGTCACTCACTTTACGCTGAATTCTCGTGCATTATTCGCGGGCTAAATGTTGACCGAGATAACGTCGAACTCATAAGTTACTCTATCTAATCAGCTATTTCGATTTTGGCACGCTTTGCAGCAGCTGAGCTGACCACTAAGGAGCGAATGTACAGTGACGTGACATCACTGCCAGATTTAAACTGTGCTTTCGTGCTATGGCTGGCGCTGAGCCAAAGTCGGACGCGCTCAGCGCTTATAATCCCGCTTATTTGATTTGATTTGATTTACTTTATTAATCCACAGGGGGAAATTTATGTGTCACAACAGCATAGAAATACAATGAATAAATAAACAACAACAAACAACATACACAACATACACAACAGCAACAAGTCTTGTTCTCAAGTATCAATTTTTCAAAGCACCATGATTATATACGACCAGAATAAATACATAAATATATATATATCATCTCACATAACACTGATTATAAAATCTAATTGTGTTATTGTATTATCATACAATAACACAATTATGTTTATTTAGCTAACAAACTAGACGGCGACCTTGACTATGTCACACATCGCAACCACTCTACCTGCGGTGTAACAACTGCTTATAGCACTGCATTTTATGTTTTTTTTGCCGCAGTTAGGCTACATTGGGATTTAGTTTGCTTTTCAAAATTTCAAAATTGTTTTTCTTTTACCATATTCGTCAAGAAGAACACATTTCTCCTCCTCTGTCCAATTAGGCTTTCTTTTTTGTTTTCTTTTTCCATTCCAGTTGACTGATCATCCAAAAATGTATTTAAACAATTAAATAAATATAATTGTGCCACAGCTAGTTGACAATGATTTGCACTAAGGTCAAAGGCAATTCTAGTGATATCATACACATTTCTAGCTGCAAGAAAGAGTGCCTGAAGTGTATATGTCAAATCAGTATAAACTCCCTTTGCAATCGTGACAGTGGTGTCATTTTTGTTCAATGTAGAACCTCTTTTATAAATTTTATCAGCTCTTTAAAGGTGCCAGAGTGGAGACATGTAGGCACTGGGGGCTCAAGACCCGACTCGGACTCGAACACGGGATTCGAGACTCGACTCGGACTTGAACTCAGGTAATGGTGACTCGACTTGGACTCGACTCGGACTCTTCTTTGGTGACTCGGACTTGGACTCGAACTCGAACACTGGGACTCGAGACTCGACTCGGACTCGACAGTTGGTGACTCGACTACAACACTGTCTGCTAGACATTTTCCGATTATGAAGGGACTATGACTTTTGCCTCAATAAACTCCTAATTACTGCTTATTAATAGTTTTAGTTCTTAATAAGAAGAGAAGAGAATAAGAAGATAGTTCTTAAGTTTAGGTATTGGGTTAGAATTAAGGGATGTAGAATAAGGTTGTGCAGAATAAGGCATTAATATGTGCTTTATGAGTAATAATAAACAGCCAATATCCTAGTAATATGCATGATAATAAGCAACTAGTTAATAGTGAGAATTGGACCCAAAACTAAAGTGTTACTGAGCTTGGACAACACATCTGGAAACCCCTGCCTGCCTCAATTGTATATCTGTGGAGACCCTGCCGATAAGAACACCTTGTGTTCACTATTTCCCAAAATGTTGAACTAGTTTTAGATTCACTTGATTCTATCAAAAACTGGTTTATTTATGCTCATCTTGCGCAATCACAAACATGCACAGTTTAAGTGATGGAGATCACAATGCAGTTCTCCATGGTTTTGTGTTTTTAATTAATTTGGTACTAAAATGTGCTTCAGAGTGAACAACACTGTGCATCACGTTGAAGGTGGCTTCTGCTGCCTTGAGGAGACATCTGATTGCGAGCATTTGATTTGCAACTCTGATTACTGCACACTCACAATTGAATATGTGTTTTGGAACTAATAATGTCATCATTGGCTAAAACACATGTGCAAGTTACTTTACTTTTTAAACAAGTATGGACTAGAGTGCGAGTTGCTTTCATGTGCATCGTGTCACAGTTCCAGTGCAACCGAACTTAATCGCCACCTTCGACTCCCTAGTCCACATGACAGCGGTCACATTACCATTTTTTTTATATGAAGCATGCACTGTTTCAGACTTAACTAGTAGTTTGAAAGCCTACTGATTATTGTGATGCGCTTCTTTTTTTTCCCCTTTTTCCATCTTCTGTTGTGGAGGCAAGGGGATGGTGTCGATGAATTCCTCAAAAGAGATTCATGAGCTCTCAGAATTGGGCAAGCATCTTCTCCAAAGTGAGGTAACTAAACAAATTTTATTTTTTGAGGTTCCATCTGTTGGCTTCTGTAGCTGAGCTCTGTGATCAGAGGTTGTTTTTTTTTTTCTTCTTTTCAGGATATTTATATGAATCTCCTGATTGTATGTTTTAAGTCCCTTTCATGGAAATTAAACTGTCAACAGACTGCTGGTTTGCTCTGCTGGACTTTGCTAAAACAGGTGCTGATTTTTCCTGTCTGTCTCTCTTAAAGGGATAGTTCACCCAAAATTGAAAGTTCTGTCATCATTTACTCGCCCTCAAGTTGTTCCAAACCTGTATAAATTTATATCTTCTGCTATAGAGAGATATTTTTGATATTTTGAAGAATATGGTAACCAAACAGGCCCAGCGCCCTATTTATTTCCAGCATAGTATAGAGAAAAAATATACTATGGAAATCAATAGTTCCCTGGGCCTGTTTGGTAACACATATTCTTCAAAATATATTCTTTTGTGTTCAGCATTCACACAGTTTTGGAACAAGGGTGGGTAGATGATGACAGATTTTTCATTTTTGGGTCAATTATCCCTTTAAAAACATTCATAATTCATCACAATATTTATATCAGTCTGCAAATGAGATTAGAATTGAATTCTAAAGATGCCAGATATTTTATATTTGAATCCTTTGCCTTGTATAAATACTATGTGTGTGTGTATGTGAATGAATTCTTGTGCAGGTGCTTGGTGGTAACCTGCTTCCGGAGGCTGTGACGTGGCTCTTCGCCAGTGTACTGAAGGGTCTGCAGATGCATGGGCAACACGAAGGCTGCAATGCTGCACTGACTCATCTGGCCTTGCTCATCTACGAGGCTCTAGTGCGTCATTTCAGCTCAGCTATCATAGCTTGCATGTTTCTCAGTATGGGAAGCACATTTGTACATATATTAATGCTGCACAACAGTAAAAAGTATACTTTTTGCCAATGTTACTAGTAGTACAATGGCATACTAATAGTAGTCGGTGAACAATAAACTGTAGTAAATTATAGGTCTTGGCTGCAAGTAGTATCCGTTAACAACTTCCATCAGTAAAGTTGCATTTAGTAGTTTGGTGCTAATTTAAAAATACAGCTTAAGAAGTAAATTGTGGGGTTTTTTAAGTCTCATCCAGGTCTTAATTGTGTACACTCACACCCCCCTTTATTTCTACATGTTGAAATGATGCTTCAACTCTCAGTGACACTCTCTATAACTATTATCAGTTTAATTTTCATAAAAGTCAGTGACGATCATGCTGATCCACGTAGATGGCAGTGCAGTGTCTAACACCACTGTATTATTGGTACTTGAAGTACACAAAGAACAGCGATGTTAACACTAGTTTAATTACTACTGAATGCACCTTTAAATGACCATAGTAATGACTGAATGCATCGTTGAGAAAATAGTAATTAATTTTCATTCTGATATTTCTCTACAGAGGCCTCGATACGCTGAGCTGCGTCTCATCATGAATCAGATCCCTGATATCCAAGTTGATGCCCTGGAGCAGTTTGATCAGAAGGCCATGATCCAACCCGCTGTATCAAAGGCAGGAGAGAAGAAAAATAAAGTGCAGTTTAAATTGCTCATTGCAGGCATTGTTAGGGTATGGCCACTTTTAACATTATTAAACATACGTACTGAATGCTAATTATTTTTTGTCATGGAATACACTTTTTTTTGTCATGGAATACACTTTTTTTTTGTCATGGAATACACTTTTTTTTGTCAAGTCATCTTCATTTATATAGCGCTTTTAACAATGTAGATTGTTCCAAAGTGGCTTTACAGTGATAATAGGAAATTAAAGTAACAGAGATTGTTTGGGCTTTACGGCCTACTCCCTACGGCCACTGCCCGAGCTTTATGCTAAGCGAGGAAGTAACTTTGTGCTTTCACACGAAGGACTTGACCCAGAGCCAGCTCAAGGGCATGGGCACCACAACCTGACTTTAGAGGGGGGTTCCTTTAAAGGAGTACGGCCCAGAGCTTATAGGCCCTAGCCTGCTACTTTCAACGGGAACCAGTGTCAACCCCCATACCAGGGAGGCTATCATGCTTAACGCTGAAGCCAACAACCTGTTTGGGTTTACATTACCAGGGCTTAAAGTATTTCCGGCACCATGCCGGATCTCCGGCGTGCGGCCGTGAGGAAAAAATTATTATTTTCGCATGCGATTCATTTTTGTCCAGCTTTAACGTGTTAAAATATTTAACGCAGCATCCGTTCTTTCTGTCATCCTTTAGCTAGGGTTATGATCATGCTCTTATTCACGCAAATGCTTTAAACCACTCATGCGCGACAAGACAAAAGAGAACGTGCTGTCAGTGAATGTCCTCCTGACACACGCAGAAAAACGCGCGCCAGTATCGAGTTCTCTTTCGTGCTTGAACGAACAATAACACACACATTTATGCCAAAATGTCAGTTTTGTCGAGTATCCTCACAAGAACAGTCTTAAATTAGTTAAATAAAATCTTAAATGGAAGTAAATGGTAGTGAGAGAATGAGATGCGTGAGATACTGTCAGCAGCGGCAGATTTTAAAGGCATTGGGGGGGGGGGGGGTTACCTACCCCTAACCCATGTACTTACCTTATATTAGCCAGTACTTTCTAGGTAAGTACACTGTAAGTACACGTAAGTTCTGTACTGTAAGGATTATCATCATTGGTCCAGCTCGTTGGGCCTGATGTTTAGAGACGAAGGGGGAAAGAGGAAGAGGGTGTGCACAAAGGAGTGGACTTCTTCCTGCTGGACTCGTGTTGTCTCATTGACCTGCTCCTGCCAGGAGGAGGGGCACGAGCGGCAACTGAGTCCCACTGGCCCCATCTGTGATCCTCAGAACGAGACAGGCCAGGACCCCAGGCTGTCTGGGTGTTGGCCTGGACCGGCATGGTATGCATGATCTGTATGCTGCTGAGCGCGCCTTCACCTCCCTGAACTTTCCGACCACCGCCTCAACGGAGGTCCCAAAAAGCTCAGGAGGTCAGCCTGGTACGCCTGCAACACTGACATTGTGTCTGAAGTGGTCTAGATGGCAGGGTCGGAGCTCTGTGTCGATGTCTCCCCTTGCGAGAGATAGCTTGCAAACGTCTCCTCAGCAGGAGGCATCGACACATACCCGTGCTCTCGCATTCCTTCCACATTTGAGTAACTATAATGCTGGAAGCGGTGAATGCGAGAAGAGTACAGGTTCTTCCATGCCTTCATAACCTCTGCGTGGAGGTCGGGAAGGAATGGAAGGCTCACTGGGGCTGGTGGGGTGTGGCCAGAGAGAAAGTGCGCATCAAGCCTTCCCACGAGCGGCTTTACCTCTGACACGCTGCCATGGCAATTCAAACCTGGCGGTGGCACACTCCATCACCTCCACCAGCTCTGCATACGCGGGGCAGGGAGGCTGGGCAGGTTCAGCCATTTCAGCATCTTCACCCGCTTCAGCCCCCGCCTCCTCATCTGGGCTCGAAGCTAAAAAAGCACTGGCTTTTGGACCAGAGGATGCATCAGAGAGTGCATCCCCGCCCAGCAGCTCCTTCTCGTCACCCGCCGACTAGTGTGAGAGATTCACCCCTCTCTCAAAATCGTCGGCGAGCTCCCTCTGAGATCCCCACGAACTAAGTCTCCTCTCAGCCTTGGCGCGAGCAGGACCCCGAACCGTGAGGCAAAGAAGACTTTCCCTCTTCCCTCGAGAAGAGAGACAGACGAGAACGGAGCGTTGTCATTGAGAAACAATCACATTTTGCGCACCCCGCCCCCTCAAGGACCGAGCACGCGTGCTCTTCACCCAGACAAAGCACACATAGGTTGTGAGTGTCACCAGGTGTGAGAAACCTCTCACACGGGTCGGCACACTTCCTAAAGCGCTTGTTTCCAGCCAAAATTGTCACTCAAAGTGTCAGTGAAACAGTCCCTGAAGATGAAAAAGTGGTTGACATGTTCTCTAGACACCCCTTTTATACTTCCGGCTAGTGCTAGAGAATGACGTCATGGCTGACACGGGCCAATGCGATTGTCGTGATTATACAGTGTTTCAGTCATCAGTCATGCTGAGGTGTTCCCCATAGCGCTTGACGCAGTGCAAGTTCCCTTTCGAAAGGGAACACCCTAGCAACAATATAGCAATAAGCTGAAACCCATAGAGTGCAACATTTAGGTTCCAAAAGTAAAAACTACATTAATTTGCTCCATAGGGGAATTGATTGTTAACAAAAACTTACAAAATTTTAAAGACAGATCTGTTGGTTCTTGGATCCAAAGGTTCTTAATCAATGGTTTATGTTTTTTGAATCCATTCAGTTTACATTATTCCCTCTAATAATTGTTTTACAGTGGAATTTATTGTGAAAACTACATTACCCATGATGCTGTACTGAAAATTCTAACACTTTTATCAGGTTTTATACAGTGGGGAGATTTGCAGGTTTTCCCACTTATAAAGCATGTAGAAGTCAGTAATTTTATCATAGGTACTCTTCAACTGTGAATGATGGAATCTAAAACAAGAATCACATTGTATGATTTTTAAGTAATTAATTTGCATTTTGTTGCATGACATAAGTATTTGATCACCTACCAACCAGTAAGAATTCCGGCTCTGACCTGTTAGTTTCTGTTTAAGTAGCCCTCCTGTTCTCCACTCATTACCTGTATTAACTGCACCTGTTTGAACCCGTTACCTGTATAAAAGACACCTACCTGTCCACACACTCAATTGGCTTTATGCACAGCTTCACTACTTCCTGAACTTTAGCCAGCCCTTTGTTTCCTGTCTGTCATTATTGGACAAACTGATTAATTCAGGTGTGCCTGGCCTCAGTAACAATAATCAGGCACACCTGGACTAATCAGTTTGTCCAATAATGACAGACAGGAAACAAAGGGCTGGCTGAAGTTCAGGAAGTAGTGAAGCTGTGCATAAAGCCTATTAAACAGACTCCAACCTCTCCACAATGGCCAAGACCAGAGAGCTGTGTAAGGACATCAGATAGAATTGTAGACCTGCACAAGGCTGGGATGGGCTACAGGACAATAGGCAAGTAGCTTGGTGAGAAGGCAACAACAGTTGGCGCAATCATTAGAAAATGGAAGAAGTTCAAGATGACGGTCAATCTCCCTCAGTCTGGGGCTCCATGCAAGATCTCACCTCATGGGGCATCAATGATCATGAGGAAGGTGAGGGATCAGCCCAGAACTACACGGCAGGACCTGGTCAATGACCTGAAGAGAGCTGGGACCACAGTCTCAAAGAAAACCATTAGTAACACACTACGCCGTCAAGGATTAAAATCCTGGAGTGCACGCAAGGTCCCCCTGCTCAAGCCAGTGCATGTCCAGGCCCGTCTGAAGTTTGCCATTGACCAGAGGAGGAATGGGAGAAGGTCATGTGGTCTGATGAGACAAAAATAGAGCTTTTTGGTCTAAACTCCACTCGCCGTGTTTGGAGGAAGAAGAAGGATGAGTACAACCCCAAGAACACCATCCCAACCATGAAGCATGGAGGTGGAAACATCATTTTTTCGGGATGCTTTTCTGCAAAGGACGACTGCACCGTATTGAGGGGAGGATGGATGGGGCCATGTATCGCGAGATCTTCCCTCAGTAAGAGCATTGAAGATGGGTCGTGGCTGGGTCTTCCAGGATGACAACGACCCGAAACACACAGCCAGGGCAACTAAGGATTGGCTCCGTAAGAAGCATCTCAAGGTCCTGGAGTGGCCTAGCCAGTCTCCAGACCTGAACCCAATAGAAGATCTTTGGAGGGAACTGGGGCGGCAGTGGCTCAGTGGTTTATGTAGGTTGTCTGCGAACCGAAAGGTTGGTGGTTCAATCCCCAGTTCCACCTGACCAAGTGTCGAGGTGTCCATGAGCAAGACACCTAACCCCGGCTGCTCCCAACGAGCTGGATGGCGCCATGTATGGCAGACACCGCCGTTGGTGTATGAATGAGTGTGTGAATGGGTGAATGTGAGGCAAATGTAAAGCGCTTTGGTTGCCATTGGGTCTGTGAAAGCGCTATATAAATGCAGTCCATTTACCATTAACTGAAAATCTATATTGCCCAGCGACAGCCCCGAAACCTGAAGGATCTGGAGAAGGTCTGTATGGAGGAGTGGGCCAGAATCCCTTCTGCAGTGTGTGCAAACCTGGTCAAGAACTACAGGAAACATATGAACTCTGTAATCGCAAACAAAGGTTTCTGTACCAAATATTAAAGTCTGCTTTTCTGATGTATCAAATACTTATGTCATGCAATAAAATGTGACCAGTTACGGAAACTAGGGACACAAGTCGTTCTGGAGCATTTTGAGTTATTCACAGATTCTGAAAGTGTGGTCTCCAAGCTTTCCAACGATGTGTAACACATGGAAATCTGATAATATTTGGAGAAGTTGTAGCCATTTGAAGTTAGGCACTCAAAAAAACTAAAAGTGGAGAAAACCGCCTCGAAAGATGTGCAGTTCTCACCTCTCTCTGCTGCTGGGAGTGACAATAGGGCTCATTTACATCTCATTTAGATAAGCCATACCCCCCCTGTAAAGCTCCCCCTGTGCTTTACAGCTTTTTCTTTCTTTCCTGAGCTAGCTAATAGCAATAGGTAGGTATGGGAAGGTCTAAACAGACTAAACATGAGATAACATGTACCTGTTCTTAGAATTAAAACAAAACGACAAACTTTAATGTTTAATGCAAACTCACCCCCAGGACCGGCGAATGCACTTCTGCCGCTCTAGGCGAAAAACAATTGTGCTGCCCCTCTATTTGCAACGTTTACCAGCAACAACACACAAAGACCAATATGCCATATACATATAACGCAAAACCAGCAACAACACACAAAGACCAATAAGCCATAGGCCTACATATAACGCAAATAGTGCGCAACGTGCGTGTGCCCAAAATGTCAAGAATATTAAAGTTTATGCAGGAGGTAAATGCCTGCTGGCATTTTTATTTAAGCAGTCATGACAGGAATTTTCCAAATAATCATATTTCCTCCTCAGATTACTGTTGCAAATCTCTTTACACCACTTTCTTATGTGCGTTTATACACACACAAATGAAATGTCCGCAAGCACATTATATCATCAGCAGGTTCAGCATCTTACATAACGACTAAGGAGCAAATAAAGCTTAACTTACGTTTCAGAAACGCGCACGGCAGGCCTTCATCGCAGCAAAGGTCTTAACTGCATCCTCTATTTCGATTCTCTGTGCCAGTTCATGTTCTATGGAGATTGTTGCCAGTCCATTAAGTCTGTTCCCTGTTCACAAAACGTTCCCCATTCAAAGCAATCGGGACGTCACATAAGAAACAGTTAGCCACCGCTGTCAGCGAGCCGAGCCGCCGTATTCAAGCACCGAGGGCGCGCGCGCCGCGCCCATACCTCCGGTTCAGTTTCCCGAGCCCACAAAGTGCGGCGAAAACATTTTCGGTGTAACTGCCACGGTTCAGCTCGTCTGCGACAATCTTTGCGGCATCGATCTTCATTGAATTTTGATATCAGACAGAGCCGGCCAGAGTGCTGCATAATAAGTAGCCACGCTGTTGGGGGGCGGGGGCAAAAGCGCCGGCGGCTATTCAGTATGGAAATACACACAGACAATGACACGCCCCTACTGCATGCTAGAATCTCCGAAAAACAAGCCGATTTCAACCTCAAAATGTACGCTTTTAAATATACCAATACTGTTATCTCAAACATGGAGAGGCTTCTTCATGATCTCAACTAACAGATTCTGCAAAAAAGCGGAAATCACCAATTTTGGAAAAAAACGCTTCTTTCTCATTTTGCTCGCAAGTTGTGCTGCCGACTTGTGTCCCTGGTTTCCGTGACGGGTCACAAATGCAAATTAATTACTTAAATATCATACAATGTAGGCCTGTAGCGGCGTGTCGACGCTTCAACGTCAAAATTTCGTCGACGTGATATTTTTTTGTCGACGCTTCATTTATTTATGTATTTATTTTTTTGCACCGTTCCCGGCGGTACAGCTCGCCACACACACGTGGGAGACCGAAACATTGCAGAATCGAGGACGAAACAGCAACCTCTTCACAGAATTCCAGACTGATCTCATGAAATGGCGTATGCATGACACGCCAATTCGTATTTCCATTATTGGCGTGCTATCAACACGCATAATCGCTTTTCAGCGTGTTTATCAACGCCGTTGACTTAACGTACATTACTGTATATATAAATATATGACCTACCCCAACCCCGTCTCTAAACCTACCCGTCACTGGGGTTAATACTATTAATGAGTCTTCCCCTACCATCCTAGGAAAAAAATATTGCTCCACAGATGTAGATATGAATTTTGCTTCGTTTCGCTCGGACATTTAACGGCGTACACATACACGCGGAATCACTCGGACGTTTAACGGCGTAGACATACACGCAAAAGATGACGGTTCGTTTCGGCGTGGACATACACGCGGATAGCTCAAAATGCGTATAGATAACACGCCACTTGACTTGAAAGTGGCGTGTATGTTTACGCTAAGTCATGATGTCATGTTGCAGAATTCACAACAAAGCCATGCAAAAGTCCCAACAAAAGAAAAAGTCCTAAAAAAAACCCAGCTCGCACTAAATCATTGAAGGTATGGGAATACTTCGAATTTAGTCCCAAACGTAAAGGTGTCGTTATTTGCACTCTTTGTCAAATGGAGTTGACATCCCAAGTCTCCCTTATATTGATAGCGGCTCCCTGATGCCCGCAAATTAGTTAAAATCTCCCGGAATCTAGAGCTCGCGAGCTCCAAACCGTGTAGCACGCGGCAGAGAGGGAGAGAGCGAGAGACCTTGCGTGTGTGTGCAAATGTGCGTGTGTGCCTTATGAAGCGCATGTAAACTCCACCCCCGTCAACAAAACCGAGTGTGATAGGGCTCATTTGAGTAGCCTACCAAACATTTTACAGTGTAGATACCCTGTAAGAACCAGATCAAAATTGTTGTGCATTGAATGTGCACTCCTGCAATTTCCATGTTACAAAAAAGAATCGTTCAATTAGTCGTTAGATTAGTCGACTAATCGATAAAATAATCGACAGACTAATCGTTTAATTAATAATCGTTTACCCCAGCCCTAATACAATGCGATTTTCTGGATTTTTGTTTTAGATTCCATCACTCACAGTTGAAGAGTACCTATGATAAAAAATTACAGACCTCTACATGCTTTGTAAGTGGGAAAACCTGCAAAATCGGCAGTGTATCAAATACTTGTTCTCCCCACTGTAATTTAGATGTGTGACTCCTGATGCAGTGTTGAGTGAACAGGGAACATCTTGGTTCTATAGGTTCCCTGATGACATGGTGTCTGAGAGGGCTATGTTAGCTCCATTAGCAAGTGAGCAAATCACGCCAAAAGAGCTCTGCGGAAATCACCCACTCCCTTGAAGCACCACGAATGACAAAAAAGTCGATCTCCATACGCTCTCAAAATACTTAAATATCTTTAAAAAATCTCTATGGGAAAAAAATAATAAAATTAAAGGATCACCTAATCATCCACATGGACCATTGGTGCTTGGACCCTGATGATGTTAATCTGTATCCCTCAGTCCTAATCATTCACACAGTTGAACTTAGAAATATAAAAACAAAATATGAAAGCTTTATTTTTTAATACAAAATTGGTCTTTAATTTGCATGTGATGTAAAGGCATTTATTATATGCAATTTCATTTGATTAAAATGTTGACATTTGATTGAAAACCTTTAATCAATTGGTCCATTTGTGTGTGTGCTGTTAGAAACCCCTAGGACAGCAGTTCAAGGAGGAAGTACACATCCGAGACATTCCATCTCTGTTTAAGAAGCCAAAACCTACGAAAGATATGCTGGAGAACACTGATGCTGCAGGTCTGATCGCTCTATTCTCTCCTGACCGTGACCATTGCTGAGGGAACCACAGCTTTACCACACCCTCACTTCATTGAGCCTCTTGTGTGTAGTACAGTATCCAGTCTGAAAGGCCTTTTTAAGGCAATGATGGTTTATTGAAATTAGGGAAAGACAACAAGAATGTAATTTGGGTGTACATTGTTTCTCTTTTTTTTGTATGGATCTGTATAATTGTTTAAAGAATATTAAAATCTTTCTGTCAGAACACCTCATTAAAAAACATTTTTTGAAAAAGATTGAGAAGTTTTGTTAATTATACAGTACCATGCCAAATTTTGTAAAAAACTGTTCATTTATACTCTTCAGTTTTTAATAAATGTATACCTGGACAGTTTCAGTGATTGAATGGACTCTTTCCTCAGGTGTAAAATGTAAAGTCTGCGTAAAATATTTTTTGACAGTGACAAGCCTATACATTCACCTAAAGGATTATTAGGAACACCTGTTCAATTTCTCATTAATGCAATTATATAATCAACCATGGCAGTTGCTTCAATGCATTTAGGGGTGTGGTCCTGGTCAAGACAATCTCCTGAACTCCAAACTGAATGTCAGAATGGGAAAGAAAGATGATTTAAGCAATTTTGAGCGTGGCATGTTTGTTGGTGCCAGACGGGCCGGTCTGAGTATTTCTCAATCTGCTCAGTTACTGGGATTTTCACGCACAACCATTTCTAGGGTTTACAAAGAATGGTGTGAAAAGGGAAAAACATCCAGTATGCGGCAGTCCTGTGGGCGAAAATGCCCTGTTGATGCTAGAGGTCAGAGGAGAATGGGCCGACTGATTCAAGCTGATAGAAGAGCAACTTTGACTGAAATAACCACTCGTTACAATCGAGGTATGCAGCAAAGCATTTGTGAAGCCACAACACGCACAACTTTGAGGCGGATGGGCTACAACAGCAGAAGACCCCACCGGGTACCACTCATCTCCACTACAAATAGGAAAAAGAGGCTACAATTTGCAAGAGCTCACCAAAATTGGACAGTTGAAGACTGGAAAAATGTTGCCTGGTCTGATGAGTCTCGATTTCTGTTGAGACAGTCAGATGGTAGAGTCAGAATTTGGCTTAAACAGAATGAGAACATGGATCCATCATGCCTTGTTACCACTGTGCAGGCTGGTGGTGGTGGTGTAATGGTGTGGGGGATGTTTTCTTGGCACACTTTAGGCCCCTTAGTGCCAATTGGGCATCGTTTAAATGCCACGGCCTACCTGAGCATTGTTTCTGACCATGTCCATCCCTTTATGGCCACCATGTACCCGTCCTCTGATAGCTACTTCCAGCAGGATAATGCACCATGTCACAAAGCTCGAATCATTTCAAATTGGTTTCTTGAACATGACAATGAGTTCACTGTACTAAAATGGCCCCCACAGTTACCAGATCTCAACCCAATGGAGCATCTTTGGGATGTGGTGGAACGGGAGTTTCGAGCCCTGGATGTGCATCCCACAAATCTCCATCAACTGCAAGATGCTATCCTATCAATATGGGCCAACATTTCTAAAGAGTGCTTTCAGCACCTTGTTGAATCAATGCCAAATAGAATTAAGGCAGTTCTGAAGGCGAAAGGGGGTCAAACACAGTATTAGTATGGTGTTCCTAATAATCCTTTAGGTGAGTGTATATTGTGGTATAAATTCTCCTACGCACCTTACTTAATTTAAACCAGGTGTCCCCATCACCTGCAATATTATCCTCAGGTGACTCCCACCCTGATTGTGTCGGTAACCCCTGACGCCTTAGTATAGCTAGTCTGACCGCATTGGAAAACCAAATGCCTAAAACTAGAAATACTAGTATTCTGACGGCATAAAATGCCTAAGAATTATAGCTATCTGACCACACTGGTAATTCCAGATGCCTAAGAGCCTCACGCTGAGTCGGACGATGTCTCTCCCCCTATGAACACTATCACTTGGGAATAAGGTATGTTGCGTTCCACTAACCTGCAGCGCAGCAGTACCCAGACAGACTCCAGACAAAACCTTCGAATATGCCTTAATCATGGCCGGAGGATCTCAGACCACTTTCAGAGAGAATCCCACCAGCAAAAAGAATAATCGGAGGTAATCGGAGCTGCTTACACACAAGCTCTTGAAGCTCTTCCCTCTGTGCCAGGAGCAGCAGCTCATTTGCATTTAAAGGGACACACACAAAACGACAGGTTTTTGCTCACCGTCAAAAAGAGAAAAATCTGTTGAGTATTTTAAGCTAAAACTTCAAATACACACACTGGGGACATCAGAGACTTATTTTACATCTTGTGAAAAGGGGCATTATAGCAGCCCTTTAAGTTGGCTTGGTTCCCGAGTTACGCTCTGTCAAACTTCCACAGGAGTTGGGGCTCCAGACTCCCGGTTTGGGGTCCCCACACGGTGAACTGTGGGCAGTTCATTTCAAGGCTAATGATGCAAAATGAATAGCTGTGATGCACGTCAGTGTGTTGTATTGTGTCTCCTGTGAGATTTACTGTAGGTTTTACCTAACAAAACCTTTGTAGTTATGAAATATAACCCATAAATTGATCGTCCACAGACAGCCTACAGGGGCCCTGTCAAATAAGTTAGAGCCGGGACTTCACCAACTGTGACTTATCTGACAGAGCCCCTGACGTGTATTGTAGCTTTGTGCATGGCCCCAGACGCTTCCGGGGAATCGGCCAATAGAAGCTGGGTTCAGGGGCGGTGGCCCCATTAGATAGGCTGGAAGGGGACAAAAGGCTCTTAGTGGACCAGTGTAACCCACTTGAAAATAAAAATCCACAAGGGTCCCTTTGGACCCTCTTTGCAGGGCCCTCTGAGGTATCTAGGAACACAGGCATTTTCCGCGTGGGTCAGAGGATTACCTGGATGAGCCCTGGGGCATCCCCTTGCCCCTAAATAAATGTTTGGGGTTGGCGCAGAGTCAATAACTGTCGTCTGCCGCATGTCATTTAGGATGTTCAGACACCCCTGAGTAAGGCACTTGCCTAAATAAAGGGTAAGGGAATCTAGGCAGTTCGTGGAAATAATTTTCCCAATTATTCATTTCCATTGTACCAGGGCTGGACTGGGACAAAAAATCGGCCCGGGCATTTTGGCCCAGACTGGCCCACTATATAACACAACCGAACTTTGCACGCCCTTGAATATGTATACCAACTCCTATTAAAACCACTAATGCCATAAGTGAATAGGAGTGAGTAAGAGTTAAGCGAAGAAATAACTACTAAGTTGAACTATACTCCACAGTGATGAATCCTAAAGAAAGCTATAGGCTGGGATAGCAATACCGGTTTTTTCCACAGGATTTTGGGAAATCTGTGGTGAGAGCACCTCTGTCCCTCTATATAGGGGGGTTGGGGGGTATGCTCCCCCGTAAGAAAAGTTTGTGCTTTTTAATGTTAAATTCATCAATCTGGTGCACTTTGAGAGTTAAAAATAAAGAGCTCCATCCCATATTCAGTGTGCAAATTGAACAAAGAAAAACTCAAAACTCTTTTAGTTGTGATATAGTGTCTGTCTACATTACACTACTACATAATAATAGTTATAATATTAATCCCATGGCAGTAATAGCCATGTTGTAAAACAAAGGCACTGAAAAATAAAAGCAACTTTCATAATTAGTTTCGTACTAATTTCTATACAGAGATAAGCACATGATCTTTTATTTTGATGGAAACGGCATCGAGCTTTTATTTTGAAGAAAAACATGGTTTACAAACTCGTCTCATTACAATTCTAATAAAATGCGTAATCGTCAAATATGCAGATGTGTAAATAATACGTAACTGGGTAGTGGGTTCCTACATACCCCAAGTGTTGTGAAAGTAGCCTAGTTCTGCTTACCACAGTTCTCTACACTCACTCATCTCTCTCCTTATCCTCCTCACTATCCTCATCAGCTACTTGAAGGGCCTTTGAAGTTTATTTTTTCATGCTATTTCTCTGCACATTCCTTGCGTTTCTTCTCCATCGCTCTGACTATTTTGACAGATACACACTGACACTGCTCGCTCACTCAGAGCTCAAAGGGGGAGGAGTTTAAAGATGTGATTGGACCAGCCCAGTGTCAATCAAGAAAATAACCAATGGGCCGCTGATCTACGCGTTTCATCATGCGCCGGTCTGTGAGAAAAAGAAAAACCTACGCTGACTTTTTTGTCCAATGCATTACACCGGCACAAAGATCCCAGAGCCACCAATTAAACAAAACTAAACCCAATGGGCCGCCGTTTTATGGGCCGTTCAGACAAAAAAAAAAAAATTAAGTATGAGATGTATCGGCCCACAAAGCACATCGGCCCACCGGGCAAATGCCCGGTATGCCCGATGGCCAGTCCAGCCCTGCATTGTACGCATAGTTCGTGTGTGTCATCACTAGCTCGAAATGGACACCCGTTTTGTGATTTAACTATATTTAGATATAACTATTATTAGCGGCTTTTCTCAAAAATTGCGGCAAAATTTGCGGCATTTCTTGTGTAGTTTTTCAGGGAGAATCAAACATTTTTATTACTTTTATGGCCATTGGGCTCTGTAATTTCTAAAAGGAGACACTGATTATAACTTAAAAATATAATTTCAACATTTTACTTCAAATGTAACACCAAATTAAAATATATAAATAAAAATTGCAGTGTTTTCCACAGGATTTTTTGGTGAAACTATGGGGTGATGGTTGTCAGGTCCTCTGGGGGATGCTCCCCCTGTAGATTTAAAGGTTTCAATCAATTTTGTAAATATTATGTATCAAATACAACAAGCTTTTGAGGAATGCTTATTTGTCCATCTCTCAGTCATCACTCAGTCATCATCATGGACAGCCTACAGTGGACCTGTCAAATAAGTTGTCCAACTGTGGTTGAGTTTCCGAGAATCCAACGGCTCAAAAACTCAAATTGAAAACAGCATCGCAGCTGTAACTTATCTGACAGGGCTCCTGTAAGCAGTCTGTGACCAGCTCATTTAAATGCTAATGACCGTGTTTTTCTCGAGAAGGAAGTTGAGTTGGCTCTCCAGACTCCAGAGCCTAAAGTCGGCTTGGCTTGATTATAACCATCATATAATGATAAAAATCCATCCAGTGTTTTTG